TGGAAGTGTATTTATGCCAAAAGGATGTTATGTCTAAGAAAAAAAACAAGCAACAAGCAACAAGCAACAACAACAACAACAAAGACAAAAAAGAAGAGGGAACACTTTTACACCTATGTAAACAAAGTTTAAATGAACAAGCTTCGACATTTCAATTTCCAGTTCATCGAGCTCACAATTATTGTACAGTCACGGCGAAGTTCTATTGAGGCGGGAACTGAAATTTTCCATAAGTTCAAATAGTACTTTTTCTACAATTCATAATATGCTCCGGATCGGCGCAGACTCTTAAAACTGTTCAGTCAGTTGTGTATTACTCATATCGAACTTTCTAGTCTTATGTTATTATGTTATTACACCGCCGTCTACTACGATACGCATATTTAACACTAGAACTACCGAAGTTTTTGATATACATTTTACTAGCAAAATGGATCAATTTAATCCATGCTCTTTATAAAGGATGTCCCGAAATTTACACAAAATTTGAATTTGCCGCTATTTGTTCGGTAAACTGCTGGGAAAAAAAAACAATTTGACAGCTGGCAGCCTAAGGTCAGTATAAATGAAGCATTAGATGAAAGAACAACGCGTTTTCATTGGTGGGCAACAGTTCAAAAATAATGAAAGTTTGGCCTCACTTTTTCGAAAATGAGGCTGGTCGAGCAATTACTGTTCGACTGTTGCTCGATGTCGCGCTATGATAACCCAGTTTTTTCTATCTAAGTTACATGATATTGATGTGCACTGACGTGTGCCCTATGATGCTCCAATATATCCTGTGAAATAATCCAATTACCGCATGAGACATTCTCCGGTCGTGTAATCACTGTTTCCGCTGAACAGATTTTCGATAAAGAGGGTAATTATGTACCCGGAAAGCCACGCAGACGTTCATTTCCTCAATGTGCTAGTCCATATATAACCCTATCTTATGTAAATTGTGATTCAATAAAATTATTACAATTCAAAAAAAAAAAAAACATTGTTTTCTATTTAATTCAAATCTTGCGTAAACTATGGAACCGCCTATAGCAACACCACTATCGAAAAAATGAAGACTGGAAGCTGAAATTTGACACAAATATTAGTTTGGGGAAAAAGTAATCCATTATTTTTTCGGTAGATGGCTGCACTGATAGATTTCTCGTAAAGTATCGATCAAACAATTTCATATTTATGCTCGTTGGAAAGGTGATATTTCGCAGTAAAAAAAATTATTTTGCTGTTTTTTGTTTGGTGCATTCAGTTGTGAGTTACAGCGTGTTAAAAATGGAAGTGAACAAAGAGAAAATTCGGTACATTTTACAGTTTTTCTTTGACAAAGGCGAAAATGCAAGCCAGGCGGCTAAAATTGTGAATGGTGTTTATGGTTCCGATACTGTAACAGCCAATTATGTGCAATTTTGGTTTCGTAGATTCCATTCAGGAATTTTTGATATTAAAGATGCACCTCGCACAGGTAGGCCGGTCGTCGAAAATATCGATAAAATCGGAGAAATGATCGAAGTTGACCGGCATGTTAGCAGTCGTAACATCGCCCAGGAGCTAAAAATCGACCATAAAACAGTTTTAAACCATTTACACAAAGTTGGATTCAAAAAGAAGCTCGATGTTTGAGTGCCACCCCAATTAACAGAAAAAAACATGATGGATCGAATTTCCATCTGCGAAGCCTTGGCCAAACGGAATGAGATAGACCCATTTCTTAAATGGATGGTGACTGGAGATGAGAAATGGATCACATACGATAACCCTGTGCGAAAACGATCGTGGTCAAAGAGCGGTGAAGCACCTCAAACGGCCAGGAAGGTTTTGCTATGCATTTGGTGGGACTGGAAGGGGATTATTTATTATGAGTTGCTTCCATATGGCCAAACGCTAAGTTCTGATCTCTACAGTCAACAACTGGACCGTTTGAAGATAGCGATTGACCAGAAACGGCCAGAATTGGCCAACAGGAGAGGTGTCGTGTTCCACCAGGACAACGCTAGGCCACACACATCTAGAGTGACTCGCCAGAAACTTCGGGAGCTTCGTTGAGAAGTTTTAATGCATCCGCCATACAGTCCGAACTTGGCACCAAGCGATTATCATCTTTTTCTTGCATTGCAAAATTTCTTTAATGATAAAAAATTGGAATCTAGGGAGGATTGTGAAAATCGACTACTAGAGTTTTTTGCAAATAGAGACCAGGACTTCTATGAGAGAGGCATTTTGAAGTTACCTTTAGAATGGCAACAAATCGTACAACAAAACGGTGCATATTTGACCCAAATCGGACAATCCGAAGCATGTTAAATAAAGTCCTGAAGTTCATATAAAAATACTGGATTTCTTTTTCCCCAAACTAATATCTCTTGATCGACCAAAAATACAAAGGTAAAATCTATCCACATGCACGTCCATAATTTGGAAGAAATTGGGTCAACTTCGATAAAAAAGCAGAGCCAATTCTCTCACATTTTCCACCATAAAATTTGAATTCTAATTTATATCGAATTGTGCGGAAGGTCTTAATCATTATAACAACATTAGGAATTAAACTCCTCCCGAAGGTCATAAATTTGTGAAGCGCTCCGTTGTAAAGGCTAAAAAGAATGATTATGTTTGCAAAGATTACCAAATTCTATTAAGCGAAGAAAAGAAATAAATCCATTTATATATCTGGGGCATATGTAATAAAAACATTTACGATACACGTCCATGTAATATGTAATGACTTCTTTTAAGTCATATATGCGTCATATTCATAGTTGAACGAAGAAAAGTATTTGCTAAATTTGATCAATTCATTTATATGGAAACACGGCATTAGACGGCATAAAAATCGCTACCGTTAAGGAGCATTCAGTGAATGTAACATTAACTGAACGCAGTTAATTGTGGATTTGTTGGCAGAATGGTCACGACCATATTTGAACATAGCATGCATGTGATTCTAATGTATATTTGGGTAACAGTTTTTTTTTTCTTCGGAAATACCTAAACGAGTCCGGAAGTTAAGAGACGAAAATATGGAAAAGTGTTTAGTATTTTTTTCGAGCTTGTCTCAGATTTTTCTATGCTATAGGCGAGTATGTAGTCGGATCACGCCTATTTTATAATCTCGCATTTTTAATTGTTCAAGCAATGTCAGCTTTTTATCCTCATTTTCGCGACTATGGTGTTCCTACAAAAACCAATTGCCCCAATTTAGCAGAAATACATATTACACAGGCAGAAAAAAAATTGATTCCACGTATTTTTCGTTCTCTCTCTCTTTAATGTAAATACAAGTTGTCGAAGAATTTTGGAGCTTTGCATACCTTAAGTATATTTTTAAAGTTCAAAAATTGAAAATTGGTCGAATTGATTTGAAATGAATTTGAAATGATTACACTTTTACTAGTATTTGTTTGTATAAATAGATTATAAGAATGCAAATATAAGGATTTTAATAAAGACGCCCAGTGAAAAAGTGATCAAAATTTTGGCAAACACCTAATATTACAGCTAAACTTACAGCTTTTACATTTACAAAGCATGGGAAGGGGAGAGGGGCGCTGGCTGTTAAATTGGTTATATTTTCATTAGTCTTGAATTTTTTTTTTTTTATAATAAAAAGCAACTATGATAAATATAAATATAAATAATAAGTGTGAAGAGATTCGATTCGATCAAGTCAATTCGATCCAAGGTAACTGATCTTTATCTATTATACAATAATCGAAAAATGTTGCGTTTAATATTGAAGAAAGAAAAATTTGCAATTTTTATAGTTTCAATCGGTAATTAATTAATTAATTATTTATTCTAATCGACCACCAATTAATTTTGCTCAGCTATAATTTTTTTTTTTAATTTTTAATTTTTCAACTAAAAATTCGTAGATTATTCTATTTAAGATTTCCCAGACTATTTGAATGAATATATATATATATATATATATATATATATGTAGAATAATATAGCAATAAAAGCATTTATCTAACCTAACCACTTAAACTGACACAACATGCGTTGAGTGTTTTATTGCTCACGTATAAACTCTCTGCGCTCTGCTTACTGTCTTACTCTGAAACACTGATAATAGCTACTATCTATAGAAAGGCAATATTCGATCGGCTACTATCTCTCTACTGAATTAATTAAATGTAATAAAACTGGCAAGGAAACATAAAAGGGTTTTCTGTTTTATTCATTTTTAAGGAACAATCATATGTTAACAAAATTTTATGTAAAATACTGAAGGAAAGAAAATATGGATGGATTTCAATTACAATTGGTAGCGCTACTGTTTTATGGAAAAATGAATTGAGTTTGTTTTTAAATGCAGCACAAAACATGTAAAACCAAACTACACTTTTATGGTTTAAATTTTTTCTTAATATATTTAATTTAAAAAACACTCACGTCTTCTTTTGCAATCATTTTTTTTTTGGTTTTTTTTTTTTTTGTGGTTCTTTTCGTTTTCAATTTCAAATTTTTTTTCTTTCATTTTTATAAGTTCAGAACTTAAAACTTAATTCAATGAGGGAGAAACATATAAATGCTTATTCATAGTTTTTAATTAAGTATGTAATTCAGTAAATGTTACAAAAACAAAAAAAAAAAAAAAAAAAAAAATGGGGGGTTTAAAAAAAAAATAAAAATTAAATTAGATGAGAAAAACTAATTTTTTTTTTTTTTTTTTTTTTTTTAATTTACATGAATGTAAATAGCAGGAGGTTTGAAAATTTATTTACATTTTTCATATATATATATATTTATATATATATATATTTATATATATATATGCATGTATGTATGTATGTAAGTATGTACTCATAGGTGTATTAATATATGGAGATTAAATTAACAATTAAAATAACAATAGCCTGAACTAATATATAAAACAAGTCGATACGATAATTATTTACAATGTTTGTTTATATCATATTTTATGAGAGTAGAAAAGGGAGAATGTACAACAAAACCTACAACAAAGGGTGCAACGATGGTATGTGGATGCACAACAATGCTTTTAAAAGAATGTGGAGAATTTTCTTCTATTGGGAGTTCTTGCACCGGTATGACCTCCGCCGGCTGGGCTAGCGTTAACCACAGCCACCGAAGCATAAGCGGCTGGCTCTACGTGCGCTGTTGCAGCAGCAACACCATGATCGACATTAATAGTCGTGTCATTTGATTTCATACCGATAGCGGAAATTGTGTTCGCAGTGAGTTTCTTATGTCCGTAAGTAGCGTGCAAAGTTGCAGGAGTGGGAGGTGCCACTACTACCGGTACCAGCACGGGTTATACAGAGATTTCATAATTCATATCGTATACACTGGCACGATCAGGGGTCGGCGTAGCAGCGCTACTGCGATTGGCACCAATTATCAATTGACCGTTACTTCCACTAACGCCCTGACCGGTGCTAATTGCACCGTTGTTGCGAGCTTGTTGCTGCTGCTGCTGTTGTTGTTGTTGTTGTTGTTGCTGCTGCTGCTGCTGTTGCTGTTGATGCTCAAGCGTTTGCATTTCCATAGAATCTGTCATTTCAAGAGCTCTCACGAAAGACATAGGACGCGTCGGGGTCTGTTTGCGTTTGATTTGTGGAGAGGGTTGCGTATTGGTATTAATCATAGCCGGATTTGGTGGAAAGACTGGCACGCCACCGTGCAATTTAGGTTGATAACCGCTACCACTAGTGCTCGCTTGACTGACCGCATTAATTGTTGCTTGAGCGTAGGTCGTAGGTTGGTGCGATTGAGACACGGTTGTGCCGTAACGCATTATATAGGAAGAGGGCGGAGCTGCCGTATTAGGTGGTATTATGGTGGGGCTGGTGGGATTGGAACGTTGACACGTTGAATGCTGATGCGGTTGAGATGGAGGATAATCATGACCTTGAATTTGATGCATCCGCGAATGAGTCATAATCAATGGATGACCCTGCTGCGTTCCGCCACTAACAGTTATATATTGAGGTCCTGTCGTATTGTGATGCACACTACTTGGCGTAGTGCCCGCATTGCTGCTAATAACCATACTACAATTGCCACTAGAACTTCCTTGGAAACCGGGCGACGTATCTTTCCACAAATACATTCCACGCTGAGGACTACTAGCAAGTTCCCGAATATTATCTACTGTATTGTTGGCACGTGCATAACATAAATCGTTGCCGCCGTTACTGCCATTTGCATTGTTACTTTGACGCACTAGTTCTCCTTCGGATAAAAAACGTCGTTGCGGACTGCTGCCGTAAGATTGTTGTGTTAAAACAAAAGCATGTTGCTGTGGTTGCACTTGTTGCAACACGCTCCCGCCTACTTTCGTAACATTTAGAATTCGTTTTATAGTTATTCCATCTATATAATTTCAACTTAACTTACCCGGCTGCGGTAGCTGCTGTTGCTGTTGTTGTTGTTGCTGATGATGTTGCAGCATGGCACGTTGTTGTTGTAAAAGCAATTGTTGTTGCTGTTGTTGTTGGATTGTGGGCATTTGCGGATGTTGAGGTGGTAAGCCAGTGCCAACTGTTGTTGCCACATTTGTCGTGTACTCGTAATATGACTGAGTGGAACTCTGTGTATTGTGCAATTGCTGCTGCTGCTGATTAAGACCAATAAAATCAGGCCTTCTTGGTTGTGTCGGAGTGCCAGGATTTGACCTATGTTATTTAAAAGTCCAACATTTAAATATATAACAGTGTCGACTTTTTCAATTGTTATTTAAATGTAACAAAACGTTCATCATTTATACTAATCTAATAATAAAAAAAAAATAAATAAAAATAATAAAAAAAAAAAAAAAAAAAAAAAACAATACCAAAACACAAGACCAAGTAAAATCAGTCACTATACGTAAGTAAATTGTATATGTATATGCATATGTTATGTATATGTATATGTATACATGTGTATGATATAATTCTAAAATTATAATAAATGAGTATGAATTGTTTCTTCAAACAAATCATCGCGCTTCATGAATCTATAATAAAACGAAGTACGAAAGTAATGAAGATATTAGCTCTTAACAGATGTGATTCTAATTAAATAATAAACGTATACTTGTAAGAAGCCGTGTACCGGTCTACTAAGCCGGTCTAATGCCAATCTAGGCATTTTTAATTGCATTTACATATAATCTCCTAACGGGGAAACCTTGACATTTATCGCATTAATGACTAAATCGCTAATGCGATTATGTTTCAGAAAAAATAAGAAAAGAGAAAGAGAAAGATAAGCCAAGGAGATCTTCCTCCCAATTCACATTAGATATTCGAATACCTTACACAAACGATTATAAGTAATATATATATTTTGTATATATCGTGTAAGTATAATATATTTATTTTTGAAAGACTTTGCGATCTTTATTTGAAAATTTACTTTTCACACCCACCACTAAAGGATGGCGAGATTTGAACCGAGAAAATCTCTATTTTTCAAAAGGAATATAAAATTGACCGTTTTTCTCATTACTCATAAACCTACAACGGACGAATCGAGAAAAGTTTGAACTTACGTATTGCGGGCAATATTGTGACGTCATTTTTGAACGGTTTATGTTGCTTCGTGAAAGCCCTGCTTATAGCGGTGACATTTAGGTTGAATTGTATGCAATACGCTACGAAATTGAAAAGAGGACAACATTTCCTCCTCCGGCCCATGTTTAACAACCTTATTTATCTCATTTTCAATAACTTCTTTCTCTTAATTACAAATTAGTTTTATCTTTATATTTTTGGGGAGGTTCCTTCCTTTCCGATGAGAAATTTCTTTGGACATCGATTCACAATCGCTTTCTGAATCCATCTAAGCTTATCTGTCCGTTCGTTCGTCCGTCCATCCGTCCCTCTTGTTTTCTTGTGTTTAACTTACTAAGCGGCAATATTTGAGATATTTTCATGAAATGTGGTAAACCGACGTGTTTTGTCCCAAGTACGAACGCTATTCTAAATCGTTCAGATAGGACCAATTTATCGACTATCTCTCGTATAAGTCATTATTTTAAAAATTCGTTACATGAATGACGGTGGTAAACGAAGTAGTATAAGTTAGATCATGTACGATTTTTAATAAGGAGACATTTTCAGAAAATTTGAAACTAAGCGCCCCGTTCTAAACTAAATATTAATGTTATTATAATCACAATTTCTTACTAAGTGCAAGCGTAGCTCTATATTAATTGACTCGATTTTTTAACTTATTCTGACGCAATTGGTAAAACAAAGTTTTGAGATTACTATGATGATTTCCACAAATGTGCAGAGATTAAGTAAGCAATGGTTTCAATATCGCAAACTTAAGATATTAAAAAGATTATATACATTTTCCCCATTATGCAGTAAGCGTCCCGTTTGGAATTTGAGTTTTTATCCAAAATTAATAACATTTCTGTCAATTTGAACTATCTATCTAAGAGTAATGTCGCAATAAATCTAATTATCATGCATACGCAGTCACTAAATTCAGATTCCTTCAGAGGATATGAAATGGCATTGCTTTCATTGCTTCCGACTACGATATCATACTCTCTTCTTTTGGATAGAGGATAGAGCTCCTCGTTTGTTGATTGATTGCTAATACTCTCGGTTACTTAATTATTAATGCACTTATACGCAAAATTTATAAAGGGCTTAAGCAAAAAAATTATATTAGAATGTACGAAATGGCTAAAATATAGAATTAAAAGTGTTTATGCCGTTTTAGTAATCTACATAGCAGCGCAATATAATTTTAGCTTTCTTCGAACTAGGCCACTATCCAAAGATTTAATTTAATAACTGAATCAAGTTCGTGAAGTTGACGTACACTTAATAACATCAAACATTAAAAAAAAAAATTATTTGTCACGAAATAAGAATTAATTACCGATTTGGGCACAATATAAATGTGGATACTTCCAGCTATGTCCATCTAATATTTTTTATTTAGTTTCGTTTGATTTTAACATAAGTGCGATTTTGATATTAAAATTTATTATTAATTTAAGTATGTTTGACGCGTACATTCAAGGAAAGACAAATAAATACAAAAATTTATATAAAATATAAAAATAAATTCACACAACGCCACAAAAGCCTCGCGCACGCACATCATGACTATGACAATCGAAATTTATTCAATATCGGAGCCGAAAAGCAATTATTCCTTTTGAGTTGCACGGTAAAAAAACTGATGGGGTTTATTGTTGCACGTATTCTGATAAAAATTTATTCATATAAGAAGAATATAAATGGGGAAATAAATGCGAAACTTCGCGCCGATTATTTTAATTATAAATAAATTCGTTCCGTTTTTTGATAAAACTCGAATTTACTTAAAATTTACTTGTTACAAAGTTTAGCAGTAGTAGTAACGGCAATATGCAATAGCAGTAGGATATGGATAACCTCCCAATAAAAACTTGTAGGCGCGATGGCTAAAGACGTATATTTGCGCATCTTCGACTGGTCTCAACTGCTGCTGACATATGCTAAATACGACTACATCGATCTGAATACGTGGTCATCAGAAGGGGCCATGCCTCGAGAGTATATCTGTGCGGTAAAATTTCCCAGGCAAAAATATATTGTCTGAACTCTCGCAAAACACTTTCTGACAGGTTTTGCAGCATACTGCTGCAACACTCCAAGACAGCTTAATCATTGCCGTAGCTTGAGCTGCAGAGAAAATGCCGTCTCATAAATGATATCGATCTCTTTAAACTTGGATTAACACTATACGACATCTTGTAAACAACGAAAGCTTACATCGTTCAAACATCAATACCCAAGCTCTCTATACCAGAAATTCAGGAAGAATTGAACGGATCAGGTAAGTTGTATTAAGCAAAAAATTTCAGCGGAACGAACGAATTGATTTGCGCACCTAATGCTTTCTTATGCCGGTATTGAGCAGAAATACATTCAGTCCAGAATAATAATAAATAGTTAATTTAAATTGACAACATCATCAAAATACCGCAAGTCGGCGAAATAATTTCTCTTCACGCGCTTACTCTTAAATTCTTATTTGCTTATACTGAGTTAAGAGATACGGGACCGATGCAATGATCGGAAGAATGGTGTTTTTTTTTTTTTTTTTTTTGGACAATTCCAATCGGACGTACCATCTCACCGATATTAGTGCTGAAAGTTTCTGCTCTCTTGCAAGCCGCTATTTAGCTAGATTTAGTAGCTGGCAGTGAGAGAGCGGGTTGCTTTGATATGTACTATGATAGTGGGGATATGATTTTAACAGATCAACCATCAAAGAAGAGGAAGAGCAAGTGAGCGAAAGTGTTTCGTATTTCGCATTTCTTTCTGTATTTGTAAAGCATACAAAAATGTATTGGAACTTTAAATGCTTTTGCTTGAGGACAGCCTCCCTGCAGCGTAAAAGTCGAACAGTATCACAGAAACACGTAGGATATTTTTGACAATAAAAAATTGATCTTGCCTTGGCTTAAAAAATTGAACTAGCAGTGCCTGTGGCAAGCATTCTTCCGCTCGCAACAACAAAGGTATCACTTACAATGAGTTTGAAAGTGACGGAAACATTTCAAGGAACATGCCTGCAAAAATCACATGGCTATGTACCAACGGTTGTGAACAGCCTTGCTTTCTGTATTCTGTTTGATGTTTACTCATAAGGTACAACACATACACCGTATAAATGTCCAGTTTGATTCCGAGATTAGAAAAAGTCATCCATCCCCACCGCCTCAGTAGAATATGAAAATGTAGTTATTTTTCTTTTTCTTTTTTTTTTTTTACGATCACGGCGATGGGTATAAAGGATTCGAATGAAGTTTTCTTACTTGTTTTTTTTAAAGTTTTCGAACATAATGTGCATAACATTCGACACAACCGACAGGAGGAAATGCATGCTAGAATAGTCTCTCACGTGCGTATACTTTTTCGATCTTAGGCTAGTTTTACCTTAAGCACTTCCTATTAAATGTACGCGCCTAAAATGTACTTCAAAAGGAATAATTGTATTTTTGCAATGTTACACATCCACTACCGTATTAAGGTGGAGGGGATTGAGTAAAACTTTTGTGGCTCTGTTTTGTTAACAATAAGGAAAGCAAGAGTTTTTATTGAAAACAAATATATGTAATATTCAAATATAAAAGAGAATTGAAGTGAATGAATGAATACAAACATACCTTCGAACAGGACTAGCCATTACTAAAGGAGTAGCTACACCTAAAGGTTTTATACGTTGTTGCATTGTGGGTGTAGCCGTGTTCCCACTGCGACTTTGTGCTTGCTGTTGCTGAGGTTGATTCATTGGATTCGGATGATCGGGTGACATCACATCGTTCGCTCCGCGTTGAGGATCCAGACCTCTATTTTGAAAGAAATGATATTTACATAAATACATCATCGATATCTTTATATGCATGAGATGTTGTAAGAATTACCTTTGCCTGGCATGAGGACTATATCTGGGATGATATAAGCGCATATGCCTGGGTGAATCACCACCGCAACCCACGCCAGTACCACCAGCACCACTAACTGCACCAACACCAGTTCCAGTTGTTATGCTGCCATTATTTAAATTGTTAGCATTTTCTAACTGCGGCAAATAAAAGCTTGTAGAATTGTGCCTTTGCAGAGGTGGAGTCGGTTCACAGTCTTGACTTTGCGATGCCTGCGGCTCCATATCTGTATCCGAACATTCACGTCCAGGAGAAAGCTGTACATTTAGAAAAATCAAAACAAATCGCAATTTTTCAGTAAAAACATTCACTCTCGCTTTTAAATTATGCTTGCGCGTCCAATACGAATACAACTAAATAAATGTTCAAATGATAAAATTTCGAGTATTGTGAATGAAAACAAATACTATCGTATTAAAAAAGAAACGATATTCTCTTGCATATGAAATAATTTTCTCTTCTTTTTTTTTATATTATGTACTTTACTTTAATGTTTTCATACCTATTATTAATAAGTAGAAAATTAATTCGCAAAAAGATTAATTTTAATTAACATCGAATTACGGAAGTACGGAAATATGAAAATACCCACCAATACACTATAGTATCGTGCGACTGGCAATGCGTTTTTTTGTCTACCCTACACCACTTGTGGTACAAGAGTATATTAACTGAGTGCGTATGTATGCAACACCTAGGAAGACCCGAGAGGGACTTACTTTCTATTATACCGAGGTTAGCAAATTTTTTCTCTGCCTATAGGTCGCAATTGTCGACATATTTTAATCAAATTTTCTGCACCGACTTGTGTTTTAGTCCCAAAGAGAATTCGGTTCGGATCGCACCAATTCTCCTATGACGTGTAAATGCCGCACCCAAAAGGAGTTGAGATGTACCCATCTTTTATTATACCGGTCGATTTAGAATCACTTTCCGATTTGATTTAGGCGTCTGTCCGTCTTGTTTTCTGACGTGTGTTTTAGTCCCAAAGACGAATGCTACTGCAAATAATTCAGATAGGACCGCTTTTTCCAACCACTTACCACATAACACTTTATTTGGAAAAGTCGTTATATGAATACCCGTAGAGTGATGTAGGGTATTTACTGGTGAGCCGTGGCCCCCAGTAAGTTTTTTACTTTTTTAAATTTTTTTTCTCTCTTTATCTTCTTCATGTTGCAGGCCTAATAAATTTTTAAAAGAACAGTATTAAGCTGAATACCGACTTTTACGAATTGTGTTTATGCCTGAAATAATTTTCATCTAAAAGAACGCAATATGACCTCAGTAAGGGTAAAATTTTGCCTTTATTTCATGTTCTTTTATTGAACAACAAGAATCTTGAATCTAATTACATGGTCAATCGCAATCGGCGCGACGGTCACTTGTAGTATCATGTAGTATCAATGGGTTAAAACTGGAAAAGTTTGAAAGTTGGTTTGAAAATGTAGATTTAATGCACTTCCACGGATCAATTCAAAGAGGAACATAATCCAATAGCATATCTTTCCCCCTAATAATTAAATCCGTATCTATGTTGATTATTGATTTGAAATTTTGCGAAAATCGGGAGTAAGCATCCTATCCTTCTATTTCTATTAATAAACAAAATTCAATTTCGCTTATTTATATCAAACTCTTTAAGTTCATGCAAATATTATATTTCCACAATCAAGCGGATTTGAATAAATAGTCCATGCCAAGTCCGCACTTCCTGGGCAGGTTAAAGGTGAGAGCTTTTTTTTTTAAATATGGTAACATGGATGGCTACCAAAAGACTCAACCTAAACAGAGCATAATATGTTTTTTTTTTATTTTTTTTTTATTTTTTTTTTTTATAAATTTAAATGGCAAGTTTGATATTTTTCCAAAAAGAAAAAAAAATTTTTAAAAACTCACGCATTAACTAATTATTTAAGGAACTTTAATTTTCTTCTACTTATTTACATTTTCTTTTTCTAAATTGCAACCAAGTACCTAGTTATAAAAAAAAATATCCATTTATTCGTAAATGGATGTACTCATATATATAAGTGTAAATGATAAGTAATATCAAAAGAAGGTTTTTTTTTTGTGAAATGTTTATGCAATATATATGGATATATATATCGAGGGCATTTTAAAAAACAAATTTATACAGTAAAAAACTTTTAAATTCGTTTCTTTTTTTTTTATTTATTTATTTCTTTATGTATTTTTTTTTTTTTTTTTTTTTTTATTTGAAAAAGTCTACTGAAACAATCTGAACATATTAAGTCAAATCGCTTGAATATATGTTTCGATTACACGTATGTATGTAAAAGGAAATTAATTTAAAAAAATACAGTGATAATAAAAAAATATTTAAAATTTTATATTTTACCTTTGCATTCGGTGCTTTCTTTGAATGTAAAAAGAGAGGCAAAGAGTAAAACTAAATTTGATTACATTTTTAAGCAGACCAATTAAAGAGAATTACAAGTACAAACTAATTTACCTTTAATACAGAACAATATTATTTTCGAAGATTAGATGGACGCTTGTGCGTTTGTCTCATCCATGAAAGTCTGAATGTCATTTTTTCGCTTGCATGGACGAGCGACAAACATAGTTTCATATTGAAAGCCCACTACTTTTCCACTACTCGATTTCTCGATTTCAATATCAAATCACGTACGCGTCCATCTATACTTTTTGAACGACATTAACATGCAGAAATGTTACAAAAGCATGCTTATTTATAATTTATGTTTTCAATTAATAATATATAATTTTAAAAAATAGAGAGCGAGAAAAGAAAATATCTCTGCACATTCAATCAATGAAATGCGAAATGAAATTCTACCCATTCTGCTCAATTACTGTACTGATCGTCATCATCGCATACTTATCTAGTTTCATATTTTTTCACTCCCAATGCTCGTACACTGAACTGCATTTCTAACGCGATTTTGTTCTTATTCTTCTTCTTCGTCATTATATTTATATGTCCGTTTTTTCTTTTTCCAATATTTCCCTTCATAGGACTAAGTTACGAGTATTTAGAGAGAGAGAGAGAGAGACTTGGCCTACTTGGTAGTAACATGAGAGCGGCTAACATTAGTGGACATTCAAAACGCAATTATATAAAAGTACGTAATAATCTGCAGCGGGTTTTGGGCCATTGAGCAATTACTTATACATAATATATGAGAAAATGAAGAATTTCAAATTAAATTCTAAATTAATGCAAAATAAACCACTACAACGACATGTACTATATATGCATTTAAGAATATCGAGAAGAATACCAGATACAATATTTTATTCAATCACTATTCGTTCAAGCCAGATTGATAAATGAAAAAATCAAAAATAAAAGTAGAAAAACAAAGAAACGAAAAATAGAAAAACGCGTGGCAAAGTTTGGCCAATGTTGGGTCTTTGAAAATTTGCAGAAAAATTTCAAATTAAGGCTCTAAGAAAACAGGCGTGAAATCATAAGAGACCTTCTTCTTTTCTTCGCTTAGATCGAAATAGTGAGCTAACACCAAATAGTGTACTTTTTGAACGAAATACAAACAACAGATAAAGCAATAAAGATATCTAAGGCGATTATTGCATTGAATGTGCCTTTTATTATCTACTAACGAGATTTAGAATGCAGAAATTGCACTTAACTGAAATTTTACAAACTCTTAAGTCTATAATTCGCTATATCAAAACATTTTTCACGCTGTTCACACTCATCGTAAGAAGAATCTTGGAGTACGGTTAAGAGCTTGCTATCAAATTGATTTCCGGTGATCGCTTATTATACCCTACATTACTTGCGGTACAAGAATTAAGGATCCCTTTCTGAATTGATTTATTCAGAATCGGTTTTGGCATCGATCCAAGCATGTCTGTCCGTCTTGTTTTCTCGTGCTCAACTTCTTATACGCCACGATTTTTCAGCTATTTGTTGATGAAATTTGTTTTTAAAAACGTTACGCTTGCGATATTAAATGATGCGCACTCAAATGTATTCGTCGCTTCAGTCAGTAGTAACTTTGAAGAAGCTTCTTGTTAACCTTCTTAGTTGGCTTTACATAAATCAGGGATGTAGTACAAAGCACTTTTCACGAGATTCACTTTATCTTCCCTACGGTGAATTTTATATATTGTAAACGAGGAACGCATCTCTCAATCGAAAAAGAAGACAAGTAAGAAAGTTATATTCGGCCACAACCGAAACCTTTATGTCCAGCACCGTTATTCTAAAAAGGAGTTACAACAAGCAAAAGAACCGCATTTTCCTAGACTAGAATATTGAGTGAATATATGGTGTATGTAAGTGAGTAACGGAAGGCAAAGTTGTTCTTTGTTTTAATATCACATAGGCGTCTTCTTTAAAATGTTTAGGTCACATCGAAACTCTTTCGCAAACTCCTAGCCGACATCTTCATTTTCGCTAACGGGAGAATGCTTACCACAGATATTACAGAGTTGGACAAACTGACAGACGGACAAGCTTAGGTGCATTGCAAATTTGAGAGTAGCCAAGCATCTATATACTTTGTGGCTTGCTTCTGCGCGTTATAAAATATTTAAGAAAAATATTAAATTTCGGTATACTATAATATTGCGTGGGCCAATTTTTTTGTCATTTTTATGCAGGTACTACAATATCAGCCCTAGGATATGCTTTTAAATTTTCGTAGATTGACTTGTGGCAGTTTGAATGACGAATGAGGAAAGACACAATTGTTAATTTTTTTTTTTTTTTTTTTATAAACACAGGTGTTCTTGATTTACGTAATAAAGTAGGCGTGTCCTTCGATCGATTTGCCAATTTTCAATACCAATCGGCGTGTAAGAACTTCGAAATGTTTCTGGGAAATTTGAAGTCAATAGCTTCAGTTTTGCAGCCATGATAATGTTAACAACAAACATTGCAAACAGACGCACAAACGAAGAACCGCCCAGTGGGACATGCTTAAATCGATTTAGAATTTGATGCCGATGTAGAATATATCCATGATGGGCATAAAAAGCACGGGAGAAAAGTCAAAATCACAGATCAAATATCATAATTTCATTCCCATTCACATCCCATTGCCTTTGAGTCTATTGTGCTTTATTTACTAATTGGTTTTTCCTATATTCTTTCATTTTTCTGGATTGATTTTCTTTGATTTTCTAAAGTATTGAAGCGACATTACTTTTCTCTTTAAGTCAAAAAATAAATAAATAAACATAATATTATATGCATCTTGGATGCTCGTTGTGTTGGGAGTTTTTTTGTTTCCACGATAAACTAATTAAGATTTGAGTGTTATACAAAAGGCTTTCAATAGGAAGTCTAATGTATATTTGTGTTCTGCAGTTTGAATCATTACCTGTTATTATAATATTGTAGCAATTCATTTGGAAAATATTTATTGAAATTTTCTCTCTTTGACAGAATTATTTTTGCGCCAAATATTTGAGAAAATTTTTAGATAATTACATCTATTTTAAAATTTAATTTATGATATTCAACTATTAATACACGTAACATATTCGAACTTTGTACCTCAATTTTTGTGCATCACACTATTTTAAGAATAGATAAAAAAGTTGAATATTATTCAATAGACGGGGATTTATATATGATATGTATATATAAATATTTATAATATATATTTTAATCGGGGTGCCATGCTTTACTTTAGGGGAATTACTATACCATCCACCGGAGGATAGAAATATTAAGACTATTAGGTGTACTACGATGACATCGATAAATAATAATAAAAAAATTATAAATGCTTATACAAAAAACTAAATAAAAAATAAACAAAAAAAAAAAAAAAAAAAAAAAAAGGAACACAACACACTACCTAATACATGATTAAATATTAATATACACAGACTCCCTTCTTGCTACAGTTATATGCTATGATAGAGTTCAGCAATTTCATTAAACCAACAAAAGAACCAACTAACCAAACAACCAAAGAGCAAACGGCTGTTTAAGAGGTTAACTAAAAATCACGTTCTAAGCGATACTATGTTATGCTTTGGAAAAAAAAAAAAAAAAAAAAAAAAAGTAAAACACAAAGAGAAATAATAAAGCACGGAGGAGAATAAGAAGAAGATAAAAAGATGGAGCGAACATATAAAACAAAACAACTGAAAATATAGATAGAGATTATTTGCATTTCGCATTTACCCACCTTACTATAAAGCGTAGTGCTGCCCGACCGCTGATTAAAACCATTGCCCTGGTCCGTATAAGTCTTTACCTGTGTATGTCGATTGTCTCTATCATAATAGTTGCGTGAAAGTCCGTGTGGCGAGTGTTGGGCATTGCCTGTAGGGATACCGCCTTTACTACGATAGACACCCGAACCGGAGTTTTGTTGACTACTTGGATCGTGTTCTGTAGTTATCGTGCTAATAGGTTGACTTTCTTTAACTGAACGACGTACAGCATATTTATCGGGCTTAAGAAGACTAAAGTAAACCAAACGAATAGATCAATTAATATAAAGTAAAAAAAAACATAATTTTGATATATTAATCAAAAGCATTTACCTAGGATACTGCGGCCCGAATTGGGTATAGCAGCAATTATGCCAACATCCACGCGAAAAGGGATTATAGCCTCCTTTAAATTTACCAGTCACCTGTTCGTTGGTAGTGCGTCCACGTGACACTAATACCATATGAAATCCCGTTAAACCAAATATCGGTATAGCCAAGATCGTCACAATACCCATAAGAATCATACTATTAAAGAACCGAAACAAGATAAAAATATTTTCAAAAAACGATATAATAAAAAACTTACGCTACAATTGGTGCCGTATGCCTTATATTAGGCATAACTTTCAGTACGTAAAACAAGCATAAAGAAAATATGCTTAACATATGTATGGAAAGAGAAACCAGGAAGAAAAAGAAAAACCGATAATTACGACGACCAATGCAATTATTAACCCAAGGACAATGATGGTCAAATGTCTGCAAATAAAAAATACACATAATACTTGATATTCTTTTTATCATCGCAAGTTGACTTCAAAATTTTGACCAATGTTAGCAAAAGAGAAGAAATATATTAAAAATATTTTATATTTAAACCTCTCGGCTTTTGTTTGATTGATTGATGAATAATTTTTTAACTTTAAATATCATTTTATATTCATCAAAAGGACATGTGATAGGTTAGATTTTTGTAACAATGTGATATATGAATCGGATATGTGAGAAAGCAACGCCTAACTCAGTAAGTTCGTAGGATGATATTATTAAAAGTCGCCGCTATTTATGAATCCGTATGACTTTTAGACTTAGTATCAACCCTCAATCGAAATTAATATTCATATATTATTTAGATAGTACCAACGTTCAAACGAAATCTGTCAAAATTTCATTGCGTTTCAAGCACTACTTTACAAATGATATTATCGTTGTTTTAGTGAGGGTACGAACGAAATTCGCATTTTTCCATTGTTTTGAAAATTAGAAGGGTATCGTTACTAATAAAACCACTTGTAACTTGTAAACTAATTATATACACTTGACACATTTGATGATTTGATGATGATTGATACTATGTACTAGTCATCGTATCTTATATCTGTATCTTATCGCACGAACCAATTAAATGATATGTTAAATAGCGATTTTAAATTAGCCATGGCTTTTTGTCTCTCGTCTGTTCTTCGAAATCTTTTTCTTTATCTAGGTCAGCGTGGTCTCTAAACATTTCTTTTCGTCACGGGGTCGGCTGACCTTTGATAGGTAAGAAATTTATACTCGGCTGTGGCCGAATCTTTTATATCCATTACCGTTATCCTGAAAAAGATTAAAGGAAAGAGAAAAAGTCAATGTCTGCATTCGGCATCAACGGGTGGGCATGGCTGATTTGCAGGATAAGTATGCAAGCAAATCTATATCGTGTACCTATTGTAGTTTATGAGCAACGACTAGAGGGGCACGAAAAGCAAAAGTGTTTTCAATTTTCGTTGCATGAACGTGTGGGTGTCGCAGGCGTACCCTTTGACCGGTTTCTTAGACACAGCAGTTAGGCAGACAAACAGATGAAGAGACGAAAATGCTTAGGTGCATTCCGACATTGACACCGCTCAAGAACGTACATACCATATTATGTTTTTGAAGCTTGTCTCTGGACGTTAATAGGAGTCTTGCCAAAGAAATTAAAATTTTATACGCCATAATATTGAATAGGCGGGCCCGATTTTTCCCATTTTTCTACAAGCAATATGACATCGCCCATAGAATGTACCTTCAAATTTTTATAGGTTTATCTAGTGCAGTTTGTGAATGGTGAGGAAAAATCCCTTTGCTTTTAATTTGGACACCAAATAAGCCCGATTAGACGAATATGGGATCTATACGACACAACGTGTATATTGCGCGAATGCATTTTCGTTCTTCCTTGGAATCAAATGTCACACATGAAAGTACCCTTCAATAGTTCAATTCAATAATGAAATACTTATTATGTCAATAGTCAGAGAAATTATTTATTAAGATAGATAGATAGATTTTTATCCATGCCAGTCCAAACTGATTTATTCCTATCGTATCGAATATTTCGATATTGATCATAGGCAATTTCATATATGATCACATTTTCAATATTAATACATTCTGTGTAATCTAATCAATCATTCATTATTGACGTTAATTTGTTCTTATAGAATTTCATGTATTCCTGGTTGCGGCGATCAAAAAACTTTCAACATTTCGATATTTCGCCAATATATATGTTCTTGATCCCAAACTTCTTTCTGATATTTAGAAATCAAAAGTCCTCTCTTGAAACATTATCTTTTGTTTATTATTTCTGACGAAAAATGAATCGCTTACGATGTGGGCTAAAGGTTCAATATCTGATATTCTATTAATTTTCAGGACAGAATATAATAGATAAAAAGAATAGACTCTTTATGGAGAGGTAGTTTTATTACATATTGTAAACAATTTGATAAATTATTTTTTCGAATTCATTTAGGATAAGTCCGCGCTCCACACGAGTATTAATAATTTGAAAGCGTTTAAAGACTCTGAAGTTGCGACTAGATTTTATATATCATTTAAATTTTTGCAAGGGCCCCTAAACCGGTTCAAAAAAGCTCGTAATTATAACCACATTCGCTGAGTTTTATGAAAATAAAGTCTCTAGGAAAAGGAAAAAGAGTCTTCGGAACACTGATGTCTATCTTACTCAAGAAATGGCGGCGAATCGATAGCACGATTTAATAACTTAACTAGAAAGAAACCATCAAGAATAAATCTACGCTTCTCTATATTTATAAAGAGGTAAAGAGACAAACATGTTCCAATCCAAACTCCTAAGTGCGAAGAGGAAGGATCGCTTTTGAACGGATTCAATTGAATCTGCGTGGCATCTGCAGGAACGAGACCATACAACGGAGGCGCACTCAAGTATTGATCTGAATAAATTTATGTATAACTTTCGAAACGTAAGGATGCTTAAGCTCTTTGGAGCTTTTAATGCAACGCAGCGCTGACCTAACCTTGACTCTTAAACATAGCTCAATATGCAGATTAAACCATAGTCTTCGGCCGAATAGAAACTCTAAATCCATCAACCCATCGATGTTTTATTTAGTTAGTATCTGCGCTAAATGATTACATGTGATTTTTATTGTCGACCGGTCCCGACCTTGAGGTTCGAAATTCAATTGAATTCGTCTTGACAGCTCCACAACTTCACTGACATTCATCTCTTGCTAGAGCGTAAATAATTCGCACTAAATTCGCACAAAGCACACAGATAATGGATTCCAAAACATATTAAAATTAACTATATTAAGTTCCGATCCTCGTTATTTGGTGTACAACACTTCACCAATCGCTTTCCGACCGATAGCCTATTATTAATCGTTTCATCAAAACTTAAATATTAAACTTCAAAAGATTGCAAGACATAAATTAAAAAGTTTTATTAATAGTAGTCTTCCTGTAAGAACAGAAAAAAAGCGGGAAATTTTCTTTAATCATAAGGAAAGCACAGATATTCCGCACGGCAGTCTAAATCTAGACCCAGCCAGCGGGACCAAGAAAGGTGTGCCGCCAAGTGGTCAGTCGGTCGTGTTCTCGAACCTTTTGTTCTTTTTTTTTTTCACCATAACTTATATCCGCGGGAATAAATTCAATACACTTTTCTTTTGAACGATTCGATGTTCCTTATGTTGGGAAAAAATACAAGTCAGGAAGGGTATGACGAGATCTGTTCTGTGAATACGCTTCAATAACTTCTGGTCGCCTAATTGCCAATACTATATTCAATCAGTTATTGCTATTTGCTCTACGTAAACTGGGTTGAGATCGCATGCGCTTCATGCCACGTAATGAACATTTTGGGGATTATCTTTAACTATGGTCTACTGAATTAGGAGCTATTTAATAACGGTTATCATATCACTTCTATAAACGAACCTAAGAATACCGTCAACGATTGCCTGTTCCGACTTCGGTAACTTTCAAATGGAGGATGGCCAAACTTTGCTGTTTACTTCTGGTGAATTCCTTGGCGAAGACAATGCAGTTTGTATCCTCTCTCCTATCTATCGTGCATGTGGATATGATATTCTTATACTTGCGTATAATAAACATAGTTCTTCTGTTTCCTTGACCTCCCCCTTATAGCGGTAGCATCTAACCCCCTATCAATATCATAATTAGCATAAGCAAAAAGGCAAAACAAAATAATTTCGTTTCTATTTTACCCCGCAATTAGTTGATCCATCGAAAAGTAATTAATAAATAAATAAAAACCGGGTTAAAAAGCCGTTGTCTGCTAATTATCTGTTATTAAACACTACACTGCTTGCGACACAGGGTGTACAAGGTTCGTTTGGATAGGTCTAACACTTAGAAAAACTTTAAATAGACCCAGTTTATCTTTTTTTTTTTCAAATCATGTGAAATCACTTTCTCAGTTCATTTAAATCGAAACTTGTCTGTCCATTGGTATGCCTGTCTGACTGTCTATGCCAGTCCACGTAATCCTGTATTCAATCTACAAAGTTTGCAATTTTCTCACATACTTTGATGAAATTTGATACATTTGGCGTATGGCAGTCACCAAGACAGAACTTTCCTACAATTGGATTCGATCAAAGCGCTTTTAATACTATTCTCCACATAATGTCTTATTTTAAGGATATTTCTAAATTTGGATGGTATACGCCCAATTGTTTGTACCTCTCTTTCTTCCTGCGAAAAATTACCCTTTATATAGGGAAAAATATAATTTTGAATATTTTATGATGAAAATTGTTTCTCAATAAGTAGTTTGACATAAAGACTAACTGTACAAAGTTGCGTATATTTTATTTAACCCCATTCCATACTAAGGCTGTCATGAAAGTTAGACATTTATATATGGCAGCAAAGTCCTATCCATCGTACACCGCAAAGACGGGCAAGTGTCCATAATGTGAAAACATTAGGATCACCCACAAGGAATTTTTAAGAAACCCAATCAACTAGTAGGCATATTCCAGCTCAGAGATATATTCTGAATCGTTCTAAGCAAGTCCATCGGTCCATTGTTTTTGTTCAAGGCCTTTTTTTTTTATTGATTTCAGTTCCAATTGTGTATCAAAGTTGTGGACTCCATTACTGTCTATATCTTTGCTGCATAATGTCTTCCTTTCCACGAGCTTCTCCTTGACAAAGATCTGCATTGTATCTTTAAAACCTCGTATCTCTTTATGTAATAACCTTTGCAGTTTTTTTTTTTTTTTCTTTTTTTTTTTTCTTCGTTATCTGTGACGCACTATCTGAGTAGAATTAATTTCATTTCGACGGATGTTACGAGCAACGGATTTATATAAAAGTAATGAAACTAACCACACAAGAAAAATTGTTTTCGGATGAAAACAATTGTTGTGTTGTGGAATTGTTTTTTATATTACGCATTGCATATACTGATGCAGCCTTTTCTGTGATGTAAAGACACATCTGTAAAGACAATCTGCAAAATCGATTCTGTAATACATAAGCGCACTAATCCTGAAACTATTTTGCGAAACATTTATTACTATTTTCGTATTGTTTTAGCGCCTTTAAAGTAAATAAATTGTTGATTTAATAATTATGTAATTACAATGAGGTTGAATTATTTTCAAACTAACTTCTTACGAACTGACATTTTTGCATGTATTAGCAAAAAGATCTTCGGAGAGATCATCGAAATGAGGATCGCGTACACAAGATCAGACCTGTAATAAATCAATTAAATGAAACATGTTCATCTATCAACATAGATCAAGGCCTCTCAAATAGACAAGCGAAACCGTTCAACAAAAATAGGTCATTTCTTGAAATAATATTTGCCCACTAAGCCAAATTGCCAACAAGCTATTTGTTTTATGCAGCCTTATGGGATGCGGATACCGCTTCGAAGTGACCTCCGGACAAGATGCAAGAAATAGATCTGCAGATGAACGAGGCTTGGGAGCCACCAATCATGTCATCTTACGATTAGCCAGAGTGATACTGAGAGTGAGGAGTCATATAGTGGTTTTCGATCATTTTTACATATCCTTGTCCCTGGCATACTATCCATCGAAACGAGGGTGTCATTGTGTCAAGACTGTACTGCAGAATAGATTGCCTAATTGCAAACTTCCTAAGGAAATTTATTCTCACCATCATGGTGTTGACTTTTCGGCGACGGCGTCGAAAGGCAACAAGGTTGTTACTTTGCTGTCTACTTATATTGGTTCGCAACCCGTAGACAATAGCTGTTGATATGATAAGCGACGAAAGCAAAATATCGATACCCCTTGCCCAAAAATAGTGTAAGAGTGCAATATGCGTACGGCAGGAGTGGACTTGATGGATAGCTATTTAGATCGCTATCGTGTATGACTCCAAAACCGCAAATGGTACCTCGGCTTATCCTATCATCTATTGAGCCTTGCTATAATAAATTCGTGGATATTTATGAAAAAAAAAAAAAAAGCCCAAGGCAAACGGTATCGCAAACGTACAACTACCAAATCATGGTTAATTGCGCCATGATTTGGCTGCCGCTCTCTGCAATGTGGGACCTCAGATAAACGGCAATAAAAGAGGTCAGCTTGGTGAATGGATCATTAGAGAAAAATTTGTCGGCGAAAAAATCTTGATCTCATATTTTACAGTCTAAGGATGTATGGAAAGACGCATGGCCACCGGCCTATATTTTCAAACAGATTGAGATGTAAAATTCCACTACGGTCATGTAGCAAACGCAATAATGTTCCTTTATGTTCAAATGCTAAAAATAATTGTTTCATGGAATGTAAAGTTCAAGGAGTAATTAATTGTTCATGATGATGTAGAAGCACATCGATGTTTTTTTTGGAAATTAAAGGAAATTTTCTCCATTGGCTACACTCAATTCACCCGTTAATTGCTAATTTTATTTATTAAAAATAAAAAATTTAAGCACTCACGGGTTAAAGAGTACCGGACAAATAATAACTTGCAAATATCCTTCTGAATCGAATTATTCGAGTCGCCTTTTCGTTTGTGTGCACGGTGGTAAATATAGACGCGATTCTAATCGATTAATTAAGTAATTAACTGAAATTAAAAATTTTTTTGCAAACTTTATGCCTTGTTTCAAAGATAAAGGTTGTCATAGGTTCTCGTACATCCGTAGAATAATTATTCTAATTTGATAGCAGAATCTTTATTAATTTCTTGGTTTTTAACAAATATTTTTACTTTCGCTCGCACTCGCGCTTTTCTAGAAATTCTTACTTCATATTGCACTTCAGAAGTGGAGGCTCTTGAAATTCATTGACATTGAATGGAATATTACCAGTATACTTGGCCGCATCCTATACTCAATGTGACACAATATAATGCAGTTAATTAGGAAAGAGAAGCTTTATTTGGTGATTTTTTTGTTTTTTTTTTTTTTTAATTCAATCAATTTTACATAAAACTTTCCCGATTTTATCTTACCTCAATGCAGTGATTGCATACGGAACAATGAGAACATCTGGGCGGCCGGTAAAATTTGCATGTCACGCACCATTTCATTTTCACAGTTATGCCATTTATTTCTGCGTTTTTATACAGAGGCGCTCTAAATTCCTCCTCACGATCTTCATCTGGTGAAGCTGCAAATAGAATTAGTTTCCTGAATTACTTCAATTCAAAGCAGTGGGGTCGAAAGACGAAAAATATTAAATACATGTAAATATTTACCCTTTGGTATTATACCGGGATCCATAAATGTGGCTAATGTAAAATTGGCTAAAACAAAAAATGTTATTACACCTTGGTAGGCAGGTACCCACAGATGGCTTTTCATGTAATATTGACAGCTAAAAGCAAACAAAGAACAAAAAATATTAAAAAGAAGATATGTATAAAGTGCAGATAATCGGTTTTCATTCTTTATTTCATTTTATTGCCTTAGTTGTGTTGTCGTTTTGGTGAACGATTTTTGAGAACTAAAAAATATCAGTTTTTCCTGAAATGTACACACATATATGTATACATATAAAATGATTAGGTAAACATGCCGCGACATCACTGAGATGGACGTTGCTTGCACACAAATACTAAATGATTGCATGCCTCGAACATAGAACAAGAGAACACAAAAAAGAGGCCACACATTACATCATGTTCGAGTAGAAACGTACTTAACGTAAAACTCCCTGATGCACTGCATATCGAAAGGATCATCAAACAATTAAAGGGAAAAAGCAAACAAGAAAGTTTTTGCTGATTGACAGAGAATCTATGGACAGATTTTGCGATATTTCCTTTTTTTAACCAAGACTAGGAACAAAAGACAACATGAGGGGAAGTTATATTCTATATATCTGCTATTGACAGGCTTTATCTCAAAAAATTAAAAGGCAAAGCAATGACAATTGCCGATCCGATTCTTGAAGTAAAGCAATAATAGATGCAACTAGGAATAATTTGTACAAATTTATAAATCAACCTACGCTTTGATACACATAATGTGGTATGAGTGGTCTAATTGAGTCTCTTGAAGATTCCGATGGGATTCACAGAGTATTAGTGCCAGTTGCATTACCTGCCTATTGAGAATGTAATCATAGATTATGCTTATTTTGAACCTTGATCAATAATCTTTAACTAAATACACATAATATCATGTAATAATATAATATTATCTTTCCGTCTGTGCGGCCTTGAACCACTCTAACAACATACATTTCTAGATAGATACGGTAAAATTTCCCGATGGAACGAACTGGATTTTCAAACCTAATAGAATCGAATACCAGATATTTGCGTGCAACAATCAACCTCGGTTTTTGCGCCATTCAAGTGTCAAAAAAGCGCAGATAAATTCGAACAACATATTTATTTTTTTCTTTGCCATATTACAATGAGCAAGAATATCGCCAACGATTTTTTGGGTTTTACAGTTGAAATGACTGAAATTCATTGAGTGTAGAAAGATGCAGTTCAATGCCCATATAATTGATCGACTCCGCACCGTTTGCGATTTAATATTGGAAATTATTCCTTCGATTAAAAATTTTGCAATCCGTGAAGACTTAGAATTATCTGAGTAAAATGCACACAACTTGCACACAATTATTCGATGCTAGCATGGTGTGGTTGTGTGCGCCTATATGCTTATCTAAAGCATCTTAATGCAAGTCAATGCATAATGTGATACGCAATAAAAAATTGATTTTAGATTTAAGTCACTCAGTCAGTCAATCAGTCAATGCATATTCGAAATAACAATTTTACCGTAATTTCTATTTCCAATTTCGATTTATTTTCAACTTAATTAATAATGGAGAACTATGTAATAAGTACTAGCTGGGAAAAAAGTCTGTTTCTTTCTTTTTAACGTTTAAAAAGTATTTTTCAAACTAATCTTTGAACTTCATACATTTGTTATTCTGCTATTGCAAAAGTTTATAAGCCTTTGTTTCGTTCTCTTTAGAAAGAGATACAAATCGATTGGAAGCAAAGCTGACGAATAAAAAGAGGCAACAATTCAGATGTTTTCCTTTAGTTAACAATAACATTCACACAATCAAAAGTGCACGATATTTGGAAATGGCATGCAACTTTACTTTACTTCATCCGGGTTCACCTTCGAAAGAACACAAGAACAAATTCAACAGCTGTAGTAAAAAAAAGGATATAATGATAAACTGCTTGTAATTATGTAAACGTAGGAAGAAGGTGTGATATTTGAGAGAAGTTTCGTATTATAAAGGAAGGACTTGTCATACAACCCTCGTAATGTTTATTAGATAAAGTAACAAATAAAAATATATACTTACGGATAGAAGAAGAAAAGAAATGTTGTTACAAGCAGTAAAATCCAGGCGAAAGTCGCAGGAATGTAACGTGTTTTAATATCGCATTTGGGCATAATGGTAACTTTGAGACCGACGATGGTAGAGCACAACTGTACGAACAGAAAAGTGTGTTAATTCAGTACAATCGCCAGCTACCAGCTACAGAATACCAGCTAGAGCAGGTGTATGATTTTAGTGACGAGTTAAATGACACTGTGATGTTTTAGATGAAGACACATACACAAAGAAGCGAACGCACCGTACCTTGTCCTTTTCTTTAATTAAAGAGATATTATAGAGTAAAGTGCACAAATTAAGCGCAATATAGCGCATCTGTAGAATAAATAATGTTCTATAATAACAAAGTTTGAAAACTCTAAATTTATGGCGAGGAGAAATGGTTTTTTAAAACACTATTCATTAGGAGAAACACATAGTGAAGCATCAATTTGATAAATGTTCTTACGGAAAGCAAGTAAATGAGATTAATCGATTTAAAAGCTTTTTTTTTCATGAAAAACTGGACCACTTTGAATTCGTATTAATTTGTTATTTACTCTTCCTTAGGTCTTCTGTTTTCGTATATATTGTCTATTAATTTATTGCTTCTTAACACTTTTCCTCAATCATGGCATTGCTTATAGGAAGGCTACATACACACTAAAAATATGAAATGTGTGTATATCTTTTATTTCTAACTATGATGTTTTTCTTATTATTTCTTTCTTGTTATTTATTTATTTTCACTTTTTCCGTAGCCCGCATACTTTAAGTAACAATGTTGTAACTAAAATTGTCACTTTCAATTCTTACTTTTACGGAATCCGCACATTATCAACATGATTATCTATCATCAGCTTAGTAAAATTCTTTTTCCGGCTTTGCAGAAATTGTCTAAATTTTATTCAGCTAATCCACCCATCATTTATTTGAATCATCTTTTGCAATGTAATCAATCACCAGGCGCAGCACCGAACGAAGGAGATGGAGCCTCCTTTGTAACGTTTTCTACATTTCGTTTTACACTGATATTCGTTTTTCTTTTCTTTTTTTTTTTTCGTATGATTTGCTTTGGCCTTATTGAATTTTCAAATTCCACATACGATCAAGATAAGAGAAAACATTTTCGCACCCACACTTGCATTCACTAATCTGCTTAGTTTTATTAAATTTTATATCTTTTTGCGTAAATGTGTAAATCTTTTTCTTTTACCACTATAGTAATTGTTTTTTCTTTGTTATATTTTCCTTAAGCTAAAATGGGTTTTTCTCGCCGCTGCTTTATGCTTACACATTTTTAAATCCAACTTTTTTAAATTTATAATTTTTTACGGATCTTTTGATTATTTAAATACTTTATTCGATCTTACATTCGTTTTCCGTATAAATAATTAGATTTAGTATAATTTTCCACTATCCGCTACAACCCGTCCGACTTAATATCGTTCGTTCGTGACCGATAAACTGGGCTGCCTACATTAGGAATTAAGATTTTGCGACAAAATAGTTTCGGTAAGAAGAAGGGAACGCACAAATTAGGAATATGAAGATTTAAAGTAGGAATTTAGTTAAGAGTCACAAATACTGCTACGGGTGTTCTAATCTCCTATCTTTTGATTATATTTTGATTAGTTACATATTTTAATTAATAAGCAGGACTTATCGTTGCAGTAAACATAATTCCGGTTTATGCAAAAAGAAAAGAAAAAAAGCATTCTTTAGTTAATAAAATTGTAGGAAAGTAGTGACAGAGGGTTTATATGCATTATTAGAAAACCAAGCTTTGAAATTTTAGCGTCGCACGTTATTTTCCTTAAATAAATGTTTAAAATATTTGACGATCTACGCATGAGATACATTAGCTTGAAAGAATTTCTAATTTCATTGGTAAAGAAAATACTTATCCTTCGAGCTTTCAAGATATCATTTGCGTAGTGGACTTTTAAAAAGTTTTATTAGGCCAACCTGTCGTGCTACTCTATCATTTAATTATCATACGACCGATTTGTAACGTCAGTTACTCCGCTTAAAAGTTAATTTTTTTTTTGGCATGTTGAACAGAGATGGACTGAGCCAATAGATTTGTGGCTTATATGTCCAAAGTTAATTTTCAAATTCATTTCTAAACGAAGTACCTGTGATTAATTCCGTAATTGTTCGTCTCAACCAACATTTCATGGTTGCAACGTGATAACAAGTATGGTCCAGAATTTATTTTATTTGTTCAAATGTCATATTAACCCTTGTTTATTTTTGCTATATATAGGCTGCGCTTTTGACAATCTACGCAAATTTGCAACGTTGCATAAACACAAATTTATCTTTTTGTGAATGCTGACGTATGGCAATACTGCATAACATTGATTTTTTCAATACCGTGCATTCATAAAATATATTATTATTAATATTAAAAAGTCCTAATTTGGATGAAAGTAGGAGTGCAAATAAGTTTGAAAATATTTTTTCTAAGCAGGTTTCAAAGCGCAACGGCAATCCCATTTACAAAAAAAAAAAGAAAAAATAATAGTAAAATGTATTGAGACTGTGCATGAATTGATGTCGTTGGTTCCCGGCGCGGCCATTTTTATAAAATAAAAAAAAAAAAAAATAAAAAAAGAAAAAAAAAACTAGTGTGTTTATCACAACTACAAATTGTTTGAAAATTTTCTGAATGTAAAAGTAATACAATTTTAGTTCGGTCGAGCTAGAATATGTCGCGTAGCGTAAGAGCCGAGACCAGGAGTAGAGCCAAAGATGATATTAAACGTGTTATGCAGGCGGTCGATAAACCCAGACATTGGGAGAAGAAATGGGTAACCATAAGCGATACTACTATGAAAATCTACAAATGGGTGCCTATATCTAATACTGACAAAAAAAAATTGAGCTCACTGAATAAACAATGTAATAAAGAGAATTCACAGAAGGGCACGCCAACACCACCTCAAATAACATCCAGCTATGGATTGACTGCTGAAGACTCTAATACCTGTGAGTGCGACGAAGTTGAAAAGAATGTTGGCTTTATACTTTTTATTAAGTGCCCTCTAACTATCCTATTTTGTAAAATCGGTTATTTTCAATATATAGATTTTAATTTTGCCTAATTTTTTCAGGTTTCTCCGTGGTGAGTGATTCTCAAGGTGGAGATTTTGTTAGTGGCATACCATTTTCTGAGGATTCTAATTCTCAAGGCAGTGATGGACCAGTGAAACGTCTTAAAACTGGCGATTAAAAGTCAGAAATTTTCTTTAAATAACCATTTTAAGCTCATGTGCACAACTCTGCATACTCTATTCCTACTTCGGCCTTAATATAAGTTGAAAAATCAATCGAAAGACGAATTATCTCTTTCTAATCATAAATTTTTTTTTTTTATATACAATTTTCTTTATATTATTTATATAATTATTACGTTACGTTCACCCATTACTGCATATTTTGTAAACACAACATTGTCTGAAATATATTTACAGACTGCCAGCATGGTGTAATAGTTTTTTTGGCAGGAAGAATACCTTTTTGCAGTAACTATTCTACTACTCACATGTTCTTTATATAACACAAAATAATTTAATATAGATTTTTTTACAACTCACACGCAAACATTTAAATTAAGTTTATTGTCATCTTTGTTTTGTAATTTAATAAATTTAAAGAAAATTTTTCGCTAAGTATAAGATTAACGTGAACAAGAAGATGAAATGAAATAATACACAGAAAAAACATATCCTTTTTGCTACTTATTCATTTTATTACATTGAATTGATCATAGCATTAGAGATAACAAATCAAATGGATAACAAAACTAAAACTTAGCTATAATGAAATTTTATGCATTAATAAGTAGGCGCAAGGTTTTTACTTGTATTTTTGCATGAAATCAGCGTGGAATTTCTTGAACTTATTCATCATATCTTTCAAGACGGGTGTTTGAGGTAGAATTGTGCTACGGAAATGGTAGGTGCCAGGCTTTTGACCAAAACCAGTGCCAGCCACAATACAAATACCTTAAATTATAAAAAGTTATATAAAGTATAATAAAATATATATAAAATAAAAAAGTTTTAATACCTGTAGCTTCTAAGAGTTCAGTAGCATAGAACGTATCAGCAGCCATATTTTTTGCTTTAGCGGCCGCTACAGCCTTGGGCGGGATCTCAATTTGGGGGAAAACATACATAGCTCCTTGTACGCGATTAACTTTATAACCCTCAAAACTGCTAAGAGTATTATATACCAATTCGGCTCGTTCCTTTAAAGCTCCCAAGACACCATTACGCTCCTTCATGTATTGGTCGTATGACGGTTCGCCACTTTTCGGAGGGTTTACCTACAGTAATTTAATAGATTTTTTATTTGTTTGATGTTACTAAAATGTATTTCTATTAACCAAAGCGCTAACAGCCACTTGTCCGGCTGTCGTACCGCATAATGAGGCAGTAATAGATTTTGACAACATTGCCATAACTTTGGGGCACATATTGATAATTTCCATATAGCCGCCACGTATACCGCATTCGCCTAGATAACCCTTTGAAGTGGACATAAAACTAGCTAACTCCATATCTTTATAGGGAGCGCCCATTTCGATGAGGACTTTTTTAAATGAAAAGAACTTGGAATTCTTGCCATAAATATTATCCTGGTACACTTCATCAGCCAAGATGAAGAGCTTATTGTCATAAGCAAACTTAATAATCTCTTCAATATTGTCACGTGTTAATACTTGCCCCGTAGGATTTCCAGGATTAATAACGACAATAGCACGGGGCGCAGTTTTCTTTGTAGATTCATCGTACGCTCGTTGCAATTCCTTTCGGCTTAAACTCCAACCGGTTTCCTCTTCTAAATAGTAATCAATCTTATCCATGCCATATTCGGCAATGGTCGCTGAATACAGCGGGTATTGAGGTATTGGCACCATAACACCGGGCTTTTTACCGCCGACTTCACATCTAAAAATATATCATATACATCATACGTCTTTAATTATTCAAAGAGATGGAATTAAAAAAACTAGCCTAATCAAAGATAATACGCTTTTGATACCAGGCGAAGCACCAGCCGTTAAAAATATGGTACGCCAATCACACGGTAGACCGTCACGTTTCTCTATAAAATTAGCCACCTGACGTCGCACAACTTCCAGGCCAGCTGAGTCCGTGTACGAACCAACTGATCCTCCCTGGCAACCATTTAGAACCTCCTTTGCACGTGCTTTAACGTCATCAGGATAGCTGGAGGAATTCAGCAACTCGGGTGCAAATGTCAAGTTTAGTAACTAGAAAAACAATACCGCAAAATGTTCTTATTAAAAATTTTTTTTTTTTTTTTTTTTTTTTTTTTTTTTTTTTTTTTTTATATTTAAGCACAGTTTCTTTTCTAAATTTGCATTAAACTGTGCTATTTTTGAAATTTCTTCCATACACTTTAATGCATACAGGAATGTATGTAGAACTAATGAAAACTAATTAATTGCTTAAATAATTGTTTAAGAGTTTGCCTACACTGAACTGCACTTATGCAAATGTGAATGCATTTATCAAATATTCATTCATTTAAATCGTTTGAACTTTTTAAAAATTCTTTTTGGCATGTCTAATTGTAACAACATATATATGCTAGTATACTTACTTGCCTTAGGAAGGTAATGGGCTTTTGTCCCATAGCATGACAATCACCGATATTGGCGCGTATGACATAATCAAACGGTTTCTTAGCGCCCTAAAGGAGGAAAGAAAAAGAACAATTTAGCTTAGACTTCTTTTTCGAAGATTAGAACTTTGCGACACTTGCATCTACACGTACACGTGTTCTTAGCTAATGTTTCTATGCATTTCAAAAAAGTAATTGCAAAGTTATTTTTGAAAAAGTAATAATAGATAAGCTCATAAATGATGTTAGACCTAAACAATTCCATTCGGTTTCACCTTCCAACTGACTACAATCACATTTATTATAAATGGCTTTAATCAATTTAGACGTATCTTGAAGCTTTTATACAGGCACTTCACATAGTAACTGTGTGTCTGTAAGCACTTATTCTACTTGCTTGTTACCTTTTTTTTTTTTGTTTTTTTTTTTTTTTTTAAATAAATATTTTTTGTCACTTTGTAAATAAAACTTTGTGCTAATAGGTAAGAAATGTTTTTATCAGATTATACAACATTATATTACGTTGAGGGATGTATGATCGATCGTCTCGCTTGTATCAAAAGTTTACCAATGCAAATCGAGTTATACGTTTTTCCCTAAGATCAATACTCAGATGGAACGATGTCCTGATTGCATTAATTTACTAGAAGAAAATCGAAAGATGGCATTTACCCTTTCGCCGTCTGTACTGACGCTTCTTTCGTTCCTTAAGAATTGTAAATAAATGTTAAATCTCCTAAGATTTTTCCTCATTTTTGCAGGTCCGTACAGCATTGAAGTACATAAATAAGGAAATATTGCGGACTTTCTGAGAGATTAGGTTTTGAACAATAAGGTTACAGTTGGAAATCATTTGTGGTGGATAGCTCGCAAATTAATAGCATTCAATTAGATTTATGTAAGAGAAAAAATTATTTGATATCTATTAGAGAGCTCAAACAAAATTATAAAATATAAATTTCACAATTTTTTTTTTTTTTAATTTCAAGCTTATTTTTGGAACCTTTGAAAATATTGTTTCGCCATACATATGAATGTGCATCTGTTGCAAAGAAAGCTTTTACAACAATGTTTTATCACCCATTGCGGTTTATTGATTATTACCCAATAAAATGTTCGGCAATTTCCAAAGTGGTTATAGTAATTTTATTTCAGTTGCCAAGGCTTGAAAATACGTAACATACGGCTACATTGACTCATGACAGCGTATCCAGAATATATATAGACGAGCATTTCAATATTTTCGTTAAAACTTGCTAATGACAACATAATATCACAAGTTTGTCTATTAATGGTAAAAATTGACCCATATAAATATCCTAGTAAACGAAACTATCTGAATTCGTTGACTGGAAACTTTTAACGTCTTTTAGTTACGATATATATTTACGTAAGCAACGTCAATATAGAAATCGCTCATCATTATGTTTTTGTACTTTACGCCATCATTCCCGAGAATTATCCATTTATGATTTGATTCAATTTAGAAAAAATTTAGCAAAATTTGTGTAAAATTTTTTTAATGATAACACTTGCCAGCAAAAAAAGCCTCAAAACAAACAATAAGGAAACATGCCAAAAATATTTATGAGATCACGTTGTTGTTGTAAAAAAGTGAAAAAAAAAAAAAATGTTAACAAAATGCTTGTTTTTTTTTTTTTTATATGGCCGCCATAAATTTATAAACTGATATGTAGCTACACATTTTTACCTGCTTTAATTCCTTCTCAATTTCGCCAGCACGTATGACCAGAGGACCGCGCACGGCATATTCCATTGTTATAAAATTAGGGTTGATATTTTCTAATTGTAGACATTTTGTTTGTTCCCTCGCAGCAGAGCTGAAACAACGATTATTATTCGCTGTAATAACGTCACTGCAAACTCCATCCATTATGTTATTCCTAGTCGTTGCGGCTTGATGATGTTTTTTGTTCATATGAAACAATAATGACTGCCAGCGGCGAACAACATGATTCTTAACTGTAGGTGACGATTGTGCTTTATTGCACGCAGTGACGGCTTGAAGCACCGCATTGGAATTATTGAGCAAAATGCGACTCATTTTTATTTATCTTTTTTTTTTCGTTTATTTAGACAATATAAGGCAGAAGAAGAGAGAGAATACAAGGAGAGTTTATTGAAGCTTTTCTCGTTAATATCTTGCTAAAATAGAATAAAAAGAGAGTAATAAAAATACAATTAGAAGGGGCGAGAGAGATGCAGAGAAAGAGAGAATAATAAATTTGATTACGTCAAGCTGCATAGGCGTAATTATGTACTACTCGTTGAATAAATATCTTATTAAATTGTTCAAAAATACGGAAACACGAACTAAAAGAGATACGTAACTAATCTTTGCCTAAAAAGCTATAAGTTTCCAAAATATGGCAAATATTGGTTTTCCCAAAAGTAAAGAAGCGATCGAAATGACGGCTTAAAAAAACAAAAAGAGAAATGTCACTGAAGAAAATGATAGCCAGATCCTTATCTGGCCATAACTTTCTTAATATTGCGCATTCCGTATCTGCTTAGGGAGGTTGCTAGTTAAGGAATATTATGTGAACTATAGTGGCAGGACTATCAAAATAAATAATCTGCAAAAGAAACGAAATAAACGAACCGCTTGAAGACGATCAAATTGAAAATTATTTAGATAGCCTGTTCTACAGTGGTTTCTAATACGGTGCTCATTTTTAGTTTTGTAGTCGGCTTGTTTTAGCAACATGGGAAGGTATATGCATAAGTGAGTAAATACATTGCAGCTGCAGACGTTTTCATTTTTTCATCCCTTATGGTATTAAAATCATACATAAAATATTCATTCTTTCAAGATGACCAAAAATTATCAATTTTGTTGTTGTTGGGTCGACCGTAACAAATTTTATTAAACAATCACAATATTAAAAATAAAAGGAACAGCTAGTTTAACGGAGAGCTCTTTTTTGCGAAATATTCATTTTTTTTTTATTTTCTATTTAGAGAAACTGATGACCCAAAATAGCTTTACAAATTTGAATTTATCTAAGCACACTAGACAGCGATTCAGAGAGTTTATTGAACTTATTTATGATTGCATGACCGTGTTTAAGCAAGTGTTTGCTAAAAGAGATTTTTGCTGATTGAATAAAGCTTTTGCTTAAACCTAGAATCTATCACGCAAATATACATGCACTTGTGTTACATAGTTTGTACAAATTTTTTTTCTTCGAATTGAATACGGATGAGGACGGATTTGTACATTCGTTCTGGAGTATAGAATTCTCCTTTTGTTTTTCTTGTTTTTTTTTTGATATCAAAAAGAGTCCAGAGCGAATCGAATATTCACAATCATAGTTTAAGGTTATATTACTCGCTTTCAAAACCTAAGCTAATTTATTATTATTATTACGGATTAAACTTCTTAGATCTGATCAATCGATGTATTCTTGAAAATTTCTTCAGGTAATTTAAACTATTATTTTAAGCACATACTCATTTACCCACAAACACGCATTGTCTTCTTCTTTAAAGCATTTGAACGACACAAAAGAAGACAAAATACGATAAAAATTCTGGAGATACTAATCCATATCATTTACCCGATATGAAAACATTTGCACAAATAATAACAACGAGTAAAGAGTACAAGCAATATAACTGTCCTTCTCTACTTAATAATAATGGCATTGAATGTGTTTAGAAACACAAAGCCATATATTAATGGATCTATTCTGAGCAATATCACAGGGATATGACAGGGCAACTTTTTCACAATAGCGGAATACACCCCTAAAACTTAATCCACAGAACTTGGTTACAGAAAGTCCGAAAGTAGTTAGTAGTAGTACCACCACATTGACTATTGTTGAATATTTTATACATTTTGAAATTTTTTTTTATATATGTGTTAATTATCCGTTTTTATATTCTACACCCTTTGTGGGTATATTAGATTATATTATAGTTTGTGCACATGTATGCAATACTAAGAGGGGCTTGAGATAGATCCACCTTTTATTATAACGATTGATTCAGATTTCTGACTGTATCTAAGTTTGTCTGTCCGTCTGCCTAAGTATTTTTGCGTACAACCTACAAATCGCAAGTTTGGAGAAGTTTTCATGAAACTTATTACGTCGACCTGTTCTCCTCTGACGACGATTAGGATCGGACAGCTTTTTCGACAACTTCCTTTTACTCGACTTTTATTCTAAAAATATATCCTAGTTTTTTCGTCATATACATTAAAGGTGGTTTTCCTTTGCAATTTTAATTTTGTGAATATTGTTGTTTGCTAATGATTTAACATGACTATCGAAATGATTGATTCATTCTTAATTTACACAATATTTTAATTGCTTAATTAATCGAAAAAAGTTGGTGAACCATTGCGTCATTGAGCTTGATAGAAGCCAAAGAAATCGCCGTTTAGCAGGAAAGCATTTCCGCGTACGACTTATTTTGTCAATGATTACCATTGGGAAGATATACCCCTAGATAGTAAGAAATGTAAGAAAACTATATTCGGCTGCGTCCGGATCTTTAGCATCCATCGTTGTTATTCTAAAACAGACTAAAAGAAAAGTAGAAACCTTAATTTGCATACTCTATAATATTTATTGACTAGACTTGGTGGTTTTTTTCTATTTTTGTGCAAAGGTGAAGTTTCATATCGCATATATCTCCATTGTTGCGACCTCGAGTACGTTTGTCACATCAATTAACAAATAGATGGACAGACGAACTGCCAAACATATCTCATTTGACATTGATCAATACTATGTAGATTTTATAAGTTCTCTGAACGTTGCATCTGGGTGCTGTAAACGTTTTAATAAAAATATGAAATTGTAGTATTCTACAATATAAAATAGGCGTGGCCGATTCTCTCCATTTTTGTACAGGTGCTGTAGGATAACGCATAGAAAATAAATGCAAGCTCTTGTTGTTGTGTGTAAGCAAGGAGCAAAAGCACATTTTTTGTGTTTTCTAGGAAAGCGGTGCTCTCAAGTTATGTTGCACTGCGGTCCTGTCTTTTGGTCAATTTGGCTCAATTCCAATAACAACCTCCGTGCAACAACGTGCAAGATCAGATAGAAATAGAAACAAATTTCGTAAACTTATAGCCTTTTTGTGCCCTGCATCACTTAAGGTACAAGAGGCTATGAATTTTGTTGTATGATGTATGCAACATCCAGAAAGACTTGACGTAGACCCCGCTTTAATCACATCGATAGGTTCAAAATCCATTTCTCAAGCTTTCGGTCTAAGCTTGTCTGTCCATGTAAAATTGATGCATTGAAATGCTTTGCCCCAACGACGAGCTCTATTGAAAATGATTCGGATGAGTTCAGTTTTTCGACCACTCCTCATAAAAAGCCTTATTTTGAAAAGTGCGCATATAAGCATTCTCTGGAAGTATAAACTCTTACAAGACAGCAAATATCTAATTGTTAATGTTTTATAAAAAAAATTTGTTCATGATAACTGGGCCAAATTTGAACCACATTTGAATATAGTTCTTGGATCCCACTCCATGTGAGGTATCTAATGAAAAGTAAGCTCTTCAGAAAAAGGTTTAATTTTTAATATTTTATGATGAAAATTGGTCCATAGTAGCAATCAAGCAAAAAAAGAATAAGGGCAGGAAATTTGGATCACGTTGCTCTATGTTTGAGACTCCAACATATCTAGGTCTTATCATGAAAAGCAATTCCTTATATGGAAAGAAAGTCTATTTTCTACTTTTCTACGTTGGAGACTGAAAAATAATAACTTTTGTAGAAAGTAAGTTAAGTTTGTAAATTTGCTTGGATCGCGTCATATGATGTTTCCAGAATCCTTCAATATGCGGGCCTTCACGAAAAGTATGCCTTTGCATAAAAATAACTGATGTATTATTACGAAACGAGTGACTAATTGTATTAGGTGAAGTGGTCTAGGGTGTTTAATGGTCGGTGATAGAGTTACCCGACTATAACGTTCTTATTTGTTTATATTTATACCCATTACCTAAAGACAAAAAACCTAAAAGAAATAAATTTTCATGCTCTATATTGAGAAGGAACGGCTGGTTTTTTCTACTTTCAAAATAAAAGTTATTTTCGTATAGGCGTGTGGGCGTTGTCGGTACATCCTTTGGAAAGTTTGTGTCAATTCATTCATTTCATTTAAAGCTAACGGGAGAATGTTTACTGCATATATTACACAGTCGGGCAGACGGACGTCCTTAAATCGATTCAGAATTATACATTTCGTGGGGTTTCTGAGGCTTTATTCCGATTGTAGCAAACGTTTTGACAAAATTAATATGCCCCTCATCCTTCGGTGATGCAGTCAAAAAAAAGAAAAACACATATGTGCATAAATATGAACTACAAGGAAATTTAGTTCATGTATGCATACATTTGATAAGATGATGCAAAAATCAACAAACTATGATTTATTTATTTTTTTTATTTTGTGTGGCCGGGCCTATGTTAAATTTTCCAAAGGCTTAGCGTGAATGATCGATTTGTGTTGAGCACGGTTTATCGCCCACAATTAGTACAATTTTGCTCAAGCATCATAAAAATTAATGAGTGACGATATATACGTTAGGATGTACAACCGATATGCTAAGTGAATGAACTTGCAATCTATTGTGTAATCAAGTGTGGCAAATGACCTAATGAAAATTATTACAGTTCGAGCCCGAGTCCAAGTCCAAGCCCGGTACGACTTATTACACCCTTACCGAAGGATGAGGGTGGTGTACATTAATTTTGGCAAAACATTGCAACGCTAAGAAGATAGGTTTAGAGATGCCACAACGTATATATATTTTATATGTTCGTGATCAGCATCAAATTCGGAATCGATTTAAGCATGTCCGTCTATGTAATATTTCTTGCCGCAAAAATGTAGCTACCAAATATGATAGAAACATTGGAGGTTCTTGCACGAAGGTTGGTGTTGAAAGTGAGCTAAATCGGCCCGCAGTACCACGTAAAGTCAGAACACATCTGGTTTTCAAAAGGGATAAAAAAAATTGTTTTTTTACTCATTACCGTACGATGCTGCAATAATACCTGCACAAAAATGGGAAAACTTATCCGTGCCTGTTCAATATTATGAGTATGACAATTTAGTTATTTTACTTTTTTCAGGATCGCGATGATGGGTATAGAAGATTCGATCACAACCGAATATAATTTTCTTTCTGTTCATCTCTCTTTCTTATTAGAATAGAGAAGCGAACTGAAAGAAAAATATTTTTATATGTTCAAGTCAAGCAAGCCTTGTTATCGTGATCGGATTTTAAAAGTATCTATTTTCGAAAGCCTAGTACAGCCTAAGATCAATCTAAAGTTGCAACAATGACTAGACTTAACTTTTCAAAGAGTACAAAAGCATTGATTGTGCGGCCAAAGGGCAAACTGAACTGTTCCTCTTGACTATTTTTTAGTATTTATTTTCAGCAATCAAGTGCAAGTCCAGTTACAACTGCTTATTATTGTCAAATCCACTATCAATCGTTACACTTTTTTTTATTTACATATTTACATTTTTGTGTGCTTGTGTCTTAATTATCAATTAAACGTGAATAAACAATGAAAATACAAAATATTGAAAAAAAAATAATAAATAATATGAGTACAATGTTTCTTTACAATTAATTCATTGTTATGGTTTTACTTATGCAAATGGATTAAGGTCGGTTCGAGAGAGAGAGAGAGAGAGAGAGAGAGAAATGGAGTCATAAGACATTCCTCCTTGCAAAGACAAAAAGAATAGTTACATTACACTACTTTATAATGAGAAGCTTTAAATAATATAGTCTAGAAGATATTATTTTAAGATAGTGAGCAAATTGGAGCGAGTAGTATGGCTTGTATGTGGCGAACGTTTGCCAAAAGTATTCCGGGAGTATTTGTTCTTTTTTCCATGGAACCTCGTGTGTACCGTGCACTTGTAAGCATGCGAACACTTATGGATGAACCATTTATTTTTCATATTTAACAATTTGGCACTCAGCCAATATATATTTTGTACATAAATGTATGTATAAATGCGCGACATAGACATATGCGTACTTTAATGTTTGTTCATTTCATTTTCATGCATTCTAAATATATACACGAGAACGTATGGCATGAACGATAATAAGCACTATATTCCGTTTTGTCTGCCTCTTTTATTAACACTGCATTACGATTTCTGAACCTTATATTACTCATTACACGAGCTTAGTGATATTTATTTAAAATAATTTATTTACGTTATTTACAACGTCTACCGACTTTTCAAGTTCACCTAAAGTAAAAATGCGCTTCGGACAAGCGAAGAAAAAAAGCCTATTATTATTATTTCAATTTGATGTTAAATATGTTCTACCAGCAGTGTGTTAACATAAACGCCCCGAAATATTCAATGCATTTTGTGTTCAGATATTCGATAAACTATGCATTTAAGCTGGACGAAGAATGGCATACGATCAATTCAAGCTTCCAACGAATGTATAGATCGTATGTAAGAATTTTATTCGGATCGACTAACAATAGAATTGATTCAAATATAACCTTTTTCTAGTGGTCTTATCTCCTTTGCTTATTTAGAGAAACTTTACACAATTTAAATAAAAAAAAAAAAAAAGCAAACTCAATTCTTATCGCTTTGCAGTGGCTTTACTAAACTCGTGATCTATGTAATAAGAAAAAAAATATATAAATAAAAAATAAATAAATAAATGAATATATACTCGGTTACGTCTCAATGTTCAAATTTCACGGTTAAACAAATCCCATTTTGACAGCTAGCGTTCATCGTATATGTAACTAAAATCTCTCTGTAATATAATGCGCATGTATTCATAATCAACGGGAGATACTGAGTCATGTCCGTCCGCTTACTCTGTGCACTTTACTATAGGTGTATACGGAACGGACATCAATTCGGCTCTAGATAGCAGCGTTTGAAGAAAAAAAATTACATTCACCTTTCATCAGATCTATTGTCATTTATCTCTAGTTTATACTCGACATATCATCTGATATATCAACCCTATATTGTATTGTATAATATATCTCGTGCATCGTATGTATTTCACATCGATTGTTTACACTCTACTCCATCTGTGGCACAAGGATATGTTAAGCTTGTGCGGATGTATGCGAAACTTGGAAGTACTTGACATAGATCCACCCTTCACAGGTCGATCCAGAATCACTTAATGAATTGATTTAAGTTTGTATGTTCATCTGTCTGTCTTGCTTTCCTGTGTTCAGCCTCGTATATAAAGGCTCATGTTGAAGATTCTTTCTATGAATATTTGCAAGATGGTATGGGACATTTAACGTTGGTCCCGGGCCAGCTATAATATCTTCACTTGTTATGTAATACAATAATTTAGCAGCATTTTATATAAGTTAATATTTATAATTGAGGCCCAAGATGTAAATGGACTTGTTCTTTTTGGAACTGAAAATTGCACGTAGAACTTGAACCCTAAGTTGTAAGCTCTACCAAGTTTTTAATTTAAGAAAGAGAGGAATATGATCAGATATTCGATAATTTTGGGTGGATTCACAAATCAATTTTGTATCTTAATATAAGCTTTTATATAACTTGCATTGGCGCTAGCAGTGAAGCTTCCAATCGTTACTTGGGGCGCATATGTCGGATCATGCTGCAATTTTTTACGATGACAATACAATATTGTACACTAGAGCTATTATCGATCCTCTTGATATTGTTGTCCAAAAAAAGCACTTGGAGAATGGAACACGGTAAGCTGGGCACCATCGGCCGACAGAAAATATGGCAGACGGCGCGACGTGGAGGAATAATCTATTCTATACAGAAGTATACTTAGGAAATGAAATCGATAAAATTAGAAAAAATCCCTAGGTAAAGTAGAGATTATGTGAGAGTTAGGAAATATATGTTGGGAAGAAGTGTCGCTCTGCTTTCTGAAATTGAACTTGAAGTAGAGAAGAATAATGTAAAACAAGTGAAGAGATTATAGTCGAGCAAGGTGAACTATTAAATACTCTACACGACCTCGCTTAACACAAATATAAAAATTTTTCCAAATAATATGTTATGTATACTGTGGCCTGATCCAATCCATTTTCCATTTCGTTCTTATGTGAAGAAAACGTTAGCATACTAAATTTCGTAAAGTATCTTAAAAATAATGACTTGTAAGTTGAACACAAAAGTACATAAACTTGAAGCAGACGAACATGCAAAGTTAAATCGACTCAAAAAGTAATTGATTATTCTTGCAATCACGCATCACAAAAAAGAAAAACTGGTCATCTTATATACTGCAGTGATGACCATTCGGTCGTTAAGTAGCTTGACTTCGTAAAGAAATCCTCTTGAATTTCATTTGCTAACAGTCTTTATAACCATTTACTTTCTGGCCTTATGAACTTTACGATAAAAAAATAAATCGCAATCTAGCTTCATTATTAAGTTCTCAGTTGCATGAAAGCAGCCAAATATTTTACCAATATGATGGTTTATGCTCAAGTTCGTTCTTAAATGTTTAATAAAGGAAAATGAAATTTTCTTTCACAGAGCCCTTTCTCGGATAGTCCTCTTATATTACTTACGTCGCTTGTCATAATTAAGTTTGTGCGGAAGTATGAAAAATCGAGAAGCACTTGAAACTTGAAACGACCAATTTGAACTTCTTTGGCTGTTTAGCTTTGCGAACTTCTGACCTTTTTGTTACAATTTTTTTTTATGTCCATCGTATGTTGAGTTGTTGTTTTCCTCCATCAAAATAAAGAAATTGAAAGAAAAGGGTGAAAGTTCGCAAAACGAAATAAATGAAAAAGAAGCAAGAACGATTCCATAAAACGACGACGATATCGATAGAGACTTAGGAAAAGCAACTAATCGCTTTCGCGCTGATATAAATGTGTATGCACATTTTCTTCGATCCAGAGAGATTATCTTACAACAGTTAGTTAGTTAGTTATGACGTTTTTTATATTGTATAACACAACATACATTATATGATATGTCAAGCAAATTGTTTTTGCGTTCGTATGAGTACGTGTTATTTTTTATTAATTCACAATTTTCGACATACCCGAAATTTCGATGAAGTTAAAAATAAATAAAAACTGTAATAAGAGAGAAATGTCAAACAAACAAAATAAAGTGTTGCATTAAGTACTACACAAGAGAAAACTGAACATATAATCAAAAGTGTCATTACTAAACATTAAGTAAGAGACTCGCTTATAACAGTAACAAGCAACACTGAGCAAAGAGTCAAATATGAGTTAAAATTTCTGTGAAAATTTATAAGAGTAAATATTATATATAATGCAATATGCAGCACAATATAAATCGAAAGTAACATTTTTGATAAAAAAAAAATCAATTTTTCAATATCGTTTTTTTTCTCGATTGTACATTATTTTTCTTCGGTTATAAATAAAGAAATCTGATGAGAAAAGACTTTTTTTTTTTTTTTTGGCAACGTTATTTTTTTGTTCAAGTGATGATTATCTAACCACTCGAATCCTATGGACATCTATATATGTATATGAAGACAAATTGGTATTTATGGTAACTTTCTGTTTTTTGGAAATAGCATTTGTTTCACACATGATATTTATAAGAGAAAACACCAACTTTATTACTTATTCTTATAGGCCTTAAGCTCTAGGCTCTCCCCAAAGAAGTTCACAACTATATTTTATGCTTACGTGCACACAATGTTATAACTGCAATAAGTCAAATATTATAAATTAACCGCAAATATGCGATGAGTTTCAGCATTCAACTAAATTGCAGCACTTTTTTGCACGGCATTAAGCTTTTATGTTGTTTAATTGTGCAGTGTTGCCAGGAATGGTAGAAGTGAGTTGATATGTCTTTGGGGTACGATTTTTTTTGCGATTACCACAGACTCTTAAATGTCTGTTATGGGTATTTATTGGCACACAAGGCAAGAAAAAATTGTTCATTATAGTATATAAATAAATTAGAGTATATTTAGTATGAGTTGAAAATGTTTACTTGGATATCTAAACGAAAGTTTGAAGTTACATAATTTGTGCAGAAATGTATAAAGTTCGCAACTAAATATTATTGCAAAATAAATTTTCATGTCGTATTTGGGATTAAACGTGGGATAGGCGTGGCATTCGATTTTACCCTATTTTCAAAAAAAAAAAAGAATATTCTCTTTCCATATATATTCATACAAGTGCTTTGCTTGAAATGTAATATATAATCTTTTTTATATAAATGTATCAAAAATATGCATTCATCTCCCCTTGTACGTCTCCTGAATAGTTTTATACAATTTTTATAGGCGTGGCATTCGATTTTACCCTATTTTCAAAAAAAAAAAGAATATTCTATATTATTGAAATTATGTACTGATATTTACATATTTTTTTTTCGAGTTTAAGATTTACATAGGCACGTATATTGGTTTTTTCGAGCCGGACATAACCAGACATTTTGCTTTTCTTTTTCTACATTTTGCTATTTGAATTATCGGACATATCTTCATTATATTTTTCATTATTGTAGTAGCATCCATCAATGTTAAAGTAAGAGTTTAATTAATTAATTAAGATGGTAAAAGCGAATATTTTTTGAATTTCAAATTTAAACTCAGACAGTATTTCAAAGTTTGGCAATTTATTCAGAATCAACTGAATCAATCAGAATAGAGAGAATCGTTGACATCAATAGCGACACCATTGATTAAGTTCAACGTTCTTGAATAACTTGCTTAACAAATTAATTAAGAGAAAAATTAAGAGAAATCATTAGGAGAACGTTAAACTAAAAAATTTTAAAAGAATTACGTTTCTCTCTCTCTGTTTCTCTACCTCGCTCTTATTTCAAAGATTATAGCTTATTTCGATGCAAAACCTATATTAATTAATTTCCTATTATTTTTTATTAACCCATTAGGAACGAATTACAACAAATTTGCTTATTTTATTTTTGTATAAAATCTCTCTCTTTATTGTTGCTTTCATTACTTATATTATTATTAAATGTAAGGAAGCACAGTTTTACTTTACGATTAATGTAATTGGAAACCAATACACAAATGAGAAATAAATGTTTTGAGCGATAGTTTCGGATAATGTTGGAAATAAAGCTCTTAGATAATTAAAGATATTTGACATAATTTAAAATAAAGCAGAATATTTCTCGCTGCTTTCGCGTTTTAAGAGAGGGGCGATATCCTAACTTCATCAGTTATTTACGAATGTTAATCGAAAGGTTCAACAAGTGTAAGCTTGACGATGAAGCTTAATTTGGCTCATCCTTACATTTGCTGCAGCCGCTAAGCCTTCGAATTTCAGGGGTCGTTATTGAATAAACTCGATATCGAATTTTCATTTTTGGTTAATGGTACTCAATAACGTACGAGTGTTCGCTCGATATGCAATGTAAAATGTCATATTTTCGTTTGATAGCTATCGGATTTCATGTTTAAAAGGAAAACAAAGTAAATCTCATTATGTAACCACGTATTTGACAACATTAATGGACCTAGAAAGATTACTTTATCTCAGCAGTTCCAAAATGTTGGAAAAAATAATAATATTAAATAATTATTTTCAATGCTTTCACCTGCTGGTACCTTAAAAGTTAAAAAAGATTAAAAGAATATGGAATGATTAAAAAAATTTATTTGAATGACATAAAGTGGAAATATGGGATTACTTGAAAATGGACAAGTAATATGATCTTCAGTACTTGTTTAGTCGATATATAGTCAGCTAGGAGAAAATCACAGACGAGTTCCGCAGATCTGTGGTGACAACACACAAGCAAATTGTTATCAAAGACAGATAGTCGTTAGAAATATCAGAAGAAAAACGTAAAATGAATAAGTGAAAACATCAAATGGACACACCTTATATGTAGACATTATAAAAACCAAGACACAGACTAAAAGAAATGAACTTGATCATTTAAATAAACAATGACATAATCAATTTATTAAATTTTTACCAAATTTTTTATTTGGTTTGCTTATTTATTTACTTTATTTTCCCTTCTTTACATCTTCTTGTTATACACACCTTTGACGGGAGGTCAAACTCGATACGAATTTCAACAGAAATGCTGACGTCTTTTCTGTTACATCTTCGCACTTAACAGAAGTGCTGACGGCTTTTCTGTTGCTTTTTCTTATTTTACAGAAGATCTGGCGGCTTTTCTGTTACTTCTTCCTATTTAACGGAAACGCTAATGGCTTTTCTGTTGCTTTTTTCCATTTAACAGATGAGAGAGATTTTTTATTCACCATTTTTCTTATTTATTAAGAGCAACACCGTACTCTCTCTATTCACCGTACATAACACTTTTTTTATAAACGGTGTAAAGGGAAAAACCGTCTAACGGCTTTTAGCGAGAAATCAAAACCATTTCGCAAGTGCAAAAAGAAGTTTCACAAAGTGAAAATTGCGAAAAAAATTAAAAATTACCAAAAATTAAATAAAAAAAAACCACAAATTTGAAAAATATATATTACAATAGTTGAAATTAATAAAAAAGTACAACTTCGTAAAGATATAGAAAAGATTATCTATACCACTTCATAGAACGAAAGCAATCAACTTACAATGCGATCGTATCGAACGGTAAATCGGCTCCAGATTATCGTTTATTCCGTTAAATAGTATTCTTACTTTTGTGAGAGCAGAAGAGGAAGATATTAAAAAAAATTGAAAAATTCGATAGTTGTCCTAAAAAACCGTTAATGATTCGAGACATACGCTTAAGTGATTAGTATCCAGAAGGGAAAAGGGAAAGAAAAAATTTTTATATTTTCTAGAGCTATGACTTTTTGTTGACCGATACGATCGATGAATTTGCAATTCGAACGGAGTAAAATACTTCATAGGTTTTCGCCCATGATTTGAGTCAAATGATAAAGTTAGTAAGCATCACAACTTCGGGTATTGGGATAACAATTTTTACATATTCCTCCTTATTTGATGATGGAGACTAACCAAAGCTATATAATATCTTTTAGAATTCCTTATATCGTTGTTTTTAATTCTCTCTTTTTAGACAGAAACATGCACTTGTCCTTGCAGATGTGCGCAGTAAGAGGATGTTACATTTAACGCAGAGAGAAAGAATTTTTATGTATTCGCATTGGAGATTGTAAAATTTATTAATTTAATAAATGATTCGATTGCTTGTCTCCTGTAATATGAGGTCATCATCAGAAAATGAAATGCGTCAATTCGGCAGTAATTTTTTCCTCAACATTTCCAAACGTAAAATGCTTGTGCGGGCGAGGATGGCGAAAGCTTTCCGTGCAAAAAACTCTTTCGTTATAGTTTTTTGTATAATTTTTCCTTTGAAATATTTATTAACACTTTGAATTTCGATTTCCATTTATAGACATACAATATAATGAAAAAAACTTTAATTATATTTAAACAAAAATAAGACTAAGAAGAAAATACTTTTCCTTGCAAAGGAATGTTTAAGATTAAGAGGCCTATTAAATAAGCAAGAAAATCTAATAGAAAATGTTTTTGTGTAGTTATAATAAAATACACTCAAGTACAAACAAACTTTATATTAGGACTATTAAATTGGAAAAGAAATAAGGTAGACAGATCCAAAGGATTGTTTACATAAATATGAAATAAAATTTAAAGTCTACATACAAAATAAAAGTAAAAGTAGAAAATGCGTTTTTTTTCTTTACCTCCTTTGAACGTGACACCGTACATTTCGAGATATAAGATTTTTTTTTTTTTTTTATATATTCAATGGTAACGTTCTCTTTTTAAATATTGATAAAAAAAGAAAAAAAAGTTTTCTCGGCAAAATATGCATTCTTTTGTATTTGCTAAAAAGAAGAAAAGATTCTCTTTTAAAACTTGTACAACTTTTGCATTTGCGAGTCTTTACTTGATGGAGGACGAACTTTTGGATTTTAACAATGTTGGAATAATTTCATTTCTTTTAATAAATTGACAGGAACAAGGAATTCAAAATTTATAAAATCACCTTGAAATAATGGAAAGGAATCAAAGAAATATTTTTACCTTAAATAAAAATTAAAAAAAAAAAAAATGCTAAAGTAACGAGTAAAAAAACGATTCTCAACAAAGTTTAAATAAATATTATTTCATTGGTTGTTTCGTGAATATTCGATATAAACCAGTGTGACTACTTGCACGAAATCAGTTTTGGAAAAAAAAAAAATATATAATCATAAGGTCTTATCTTGCTGCACGTTGTTTTACAACATTAAGAAATTTATATGCTTTGATAGCCTGCTTCATTTTGTCCGTTTCCGACAGTGAAGCGGAAAAAATTTTTCCAAACTTGAAAACCGCGTACTAATTAATATCTTGAATTGTCTTATCGCCAGTAAACTCAAGTTTTTATATTAAAACGTTTGCATTTTAGGTAAATGATTCATTCATAACAAATATGTTTACTCTTCATTTGTTCGTAAATCTTTTCAAATATATACAAAATATTCTTCTTCCTATTCTTCATTCCTGAAATTTTTACTGGCTTATTAATACATTTTTGATGATGAGATAATGTAATACCTTAGGACCTCATTTTTTTATCTCTTCATTAAAGAAGTGTAAACAGCTGAATAATTTTTATTTTTGAATTCTAATGCGAGCATTCTCTCTTATGCCTTAGTTTGTGCAATTTCGTAAGCATTTTTCTTTAAGTTATTAAAAAAATTGTTTTAGTTTTTTTTCTAGCGATTTCTTGGCATATTCTGAAATATATAATTTAAAATGAAATTTTTTTGAAAAACCTTGTAGTAGTTTTTGTGAACGGAAAATTCCATTTACATTATCTCGGTTGTAGTCGGCTATGACTGTAGTAGTAGTATGTAATTTTAAATTATTATTATAATTACAGTTTATTATATATTTCTATGCTTTTTTTCATTTATAAAATATATAAAAAAGTTTTAGAAAACTATTTCAGCTGTTCTGGCTTTAATTTGTTTTTCGTAACGATTTTAGTCTGGCGTTGTTTAATAATTTTTTTATTTTTGTTTTTATTATCATTTTCCTATAAAATACATGATATCTAGATATATATATATATATATTTTTTTTTTTGTTTTTTTACAAATATTAGTTTTCATGTCTGATTTTTATTATATAATTAGTTAAATATAATATTGTCTCTCTTCTATAGCATTCTCATACACAAAAATATATACCGTAGGCCGTTTAAATAATTTAAAGATTTTATACAATCGACCTTTTTTTTCCCTCTTTTTTTTGTGTTGTATTTTTTAGTAGGGCTTATTATACTTTTCACTTTTTCGCTTTTACTTTGCTTTACAAATATATTAAATAATAATTGCATCCTAGATTTGCTGTGGTTGTTGTCTAACATCAAGATATGTTTTTCTTCGGAAACTTTCTTTCGTTAAATTATTTGATTTTGCTAAATACATATTGTTTTTAATAAAATATATAGATATATTCTTTATAAGGTGTTTTCGTTTTTTAAGGAAGATTGAGGTGGACTGCGAAAGTATAGGCGGAGTAGAACAGTTTCTTTTTCTTTTAATTAAATTAAATTGAAATTAGTTCGTTTAATTTTTGTTCCACAAGTCTTCAAGGTTATTGTTGCTGTGGTTGTTGCAATAGCGATATGATGATGCTAAGGTTTGTATCAGCATTCGGATTTATCTTCCTCGACAAGATATTGTGTGTCTTTACCATTATCAGCCGATGGATCCAATTCCCTGGTGCGCAATTGAAGTTGTGGCGATGATTTGTGCGTTATACTGCTCGGCGCTAAAATGGCAGAAACGGGCTCCGTAAATGGACCGATTGGTTTACCTTTGGAAGGATCATGTGGCACTTCGTAAATACCTGCAATATATTCGTCGTAATTAAGATGTATAGTGCGTTGAAAAAGATTAAAATTACCATTGGTTAAGCTTGGATCTGTGTTGGTACCCGATTGCACAGCGTCATACATGGGATTGGAGAAATCTCGATTTTTGCTTGTGTTTACAGCTTGTAAATTGTAACCTTCTAAAGGTTGTATGTCGCCCAAAGCAGCCGCGCCAGTTACCGCTGGTGGTCCAGTGAAGTCTGGAGCATTAAACTCTACGTTAGTACCGTGCCGGAATGTCACACTTTGTGAAGAAGATAAAGTAGGCAAACGGGCTAATTTGCCGCTGAAAGTAGCACAAAACCGATAATGCATGAAAGAATTGCTCTCACTTCAATGGGAAATTCGGATTCTTATTTTTTTTCTTGTGATACTTTTTACACCTCTCCCACTAAATAAACTTCAAGGAAGGGGCATGAGTAGGAATGTTTGAACAGTTGGGCACATTTTGTGTCTATAATATGTATACATATATATATACCTTTACACGTGTTTTCTTTGAAACACGATTTTTCAAAACGACAAGCAATATAACTTTTATAATAATATAACTTTCCAATAATTTAAATGTTTTTATCCAAATTTCTTCTAATACATTGTAAACTTACTGTATTAATTGAAAGAATAATATTTGTTGAATATCTTACGTATTTGTCAAGTTTTAGGTATGTAGACTAATGCAGTTTTTTAATTAAAATTTCCAGTTAGATTACTAGCTCTAGAGCTCCTTAAATTAAATATGTTTTGAAAAAATGCCTTCGGTATTGTCTTGTTCTAATATTTCTCAAAAGTATATATAATCTTAAATATTTGAATATTGTCTTAGTAACTTCCTGGAATATTATTATCACATTGCCCCTTAGGATAGTTCACGTGTGTCAGAAAAAGAAAATAAATTTTATATTCTTCCTGCAAAAAGAATATGATACTTACAATGGCTTTTTGCGTATCGCAAACCAAACTCCACCCGCAGCCAACATAACCAATAGGATTACCATAATCGGTACCACTACCGCAGCAATGTTAGCGCCACCGTGGCCAAACATGCTCGCTGCGTTTATTTCACAGCGAGTTCCCTTAAAATCTGCCAAACACTCGCACGTTAATTCGTCATTGTTACGTTCAACACAAAATCCACCATTCTGACAAAGGCATATGCGTGGAGCAGGTCGTGGTCTTTCAGCGGCAGCATCACAAAATCTTTCCATAGTGTTGCGATGAGAAGGTAAAGATCCGGTACTGTCTGGACATGCACAACGGTGCCCACCTGGTACCAACAAACATAAATGAGAGCAGCTCGAGCCAAAACAAGGGTCTTTAAGAGAGGTATTGTAGCGTTTTTCGTGATAGACTTTCAGTCCTGAAGGGTTGACCAAATTTCGATGGACTATTACCTGCACGCCACGACCAAACTTGTCCTGGCGGAAGAGTTCACCCGTATCACGTGTCACCCAGTACATATTTGATTCAAATATATCCAAAGAAACGGGATGTCTTAATTGATATCCTTTCAATATGGCCTTACGCCTAGAACCGTCGGGTCTCATAGATTCGATAGCATTCAGTTTTGTGTCTACCCAATATATGATGTGATCTTGGGCGTAGTCTATGGTCAAACCGGCTGGGTGGCGTATTTGTTCGGTTATTAAAGGTCGGCGTTTTGAACCATCCATCCATGATACTTCTATTTTTGGAGCAGATCCAGCATCAGACCAATAAATACGGCCCAATTGAGGATTTACCGCTATTGAAGTGGGTATTTCTAAGCCGGCATTAACAATAGAACGCCTATAACGGCCGTCGGTAGTAGCCACCATAACACGTCCCCGTGGCTTTGATCCCGTTCGATCTACTTCAGCCCAGTAAAGATTAGAAGCTAACCAATCCACTGCTACTGCCGTTGGCTTAGACCCACCCTTCATGTTCAAGTCTTGGGCGAAACCTATTTTTGCTTGTCCATCTAATGCATTAACCATATATGACCGTTTGATGGTCTTGTCATAGCTGTCAGCCCAAAATAAAATCTGTTGCTCGGCATCGTAATCCAGGGCCTCTATACGTTTTTCCGATAAGATTACGTCGAATTCTTTCTTCTTTTGTAAGTCCAGGCCTCTTATTTCAGGACCGTTCGAAAATATCAAAACGACATCATCTTTTTCGACCTTACAAACTCCGGAAGTACTGTCCAACATATGGAAACCTTCGCGACATGAGCAGGAATATGTGCCATTTAAATTCTGACATTGATGAGAGCAAGTATGCTGGCGCGTGACGCATTCATCAACGTCCACACATTTCTTTTTGTTGTCCTGCGCTATAATATACCCGGGGTAACATGCGCATATATAACCACCATCGGTAAGATTGTGGCAGTGGTGTTGACATCCGCCGCGGTTTTCTGCAAGACAGCTAGATGTGTGGTGACAACCCAACTCATCTGAGGCGTCACCACAATCGTCTGAATAATCGCAGACATGTGTTCGTTCAATGCATTTTTTGTTGGCACATTGATATTGTGTATAGAGATCACAAGGTTTTTGTTTCGTAGCACAGATTGTCATATTATTTTCGTCCGAGCCATCACCACAATTATCCACGCCGTCACAAATTTGATAACGGGCCACACAGCGGTGGTTTGCGCATTGAAAACGACGCAAAGTGTCGCAATTGAAATCGGTGCACACTTTCGGATCTTCATCTGAACCGTCACCGCAATCATCAGTGCCATCACAGAGATCAGATGGTGAAACACACAGATTGTTGTTGCACTGAAAACGAGATTCGGGACAATAGCGGCCTCCTGGAAAGCGTGGCGGGCAGCCCACTTCATCGGACATATCCCGGCAATCCCGGTCACCATCACAACGGAAATAAGACGCAATGCAATGACCGGAACTGCATTGGAAGGTACCGTTTTTACATTGGTAACCCTCACAGTTCACTTCATCAGAATTGTCTCCACAATCATCCTCATGATCGCATTGCCAACGGGAGGAGATACATTTACCATTAGTGCACCGGAACTCCGATTCCGAGCATTCACGATATTTACCTTTGCAGACTGCATCGTTTTCATCGCTGCCATCGCCGCAATCATCAGCAAAATCACACATCCACTGCCTATATATATAAGATGAAAGTAATTAAAGAGAAAATATTTAAAACTATCTCGTTTTTCAATTACTTTGGTATACACCGATTATTGGCACATTTGAAGTCGGTTTCCAGATTGCAGGAGGGGCAGTTGTCAGCTTGTTCGTCACTATTGTCACGACAATCGTCCTTGCCATCGCAGAACAGCCATTTGGGTATGCAACGATAATTCGACTGACCTGGGCATCTTTGCCAGCCAGTAGTACAATTCCTTTGTCGGCACATGTATGCAGGTTCGTCGGAATCATCACCGCAGTCATTATCAAAGTCGCACATCCATAATTTGGGTATACAACGACCGTTCTTGCAATTAAACTCAGTTTCAAGATCACAAGTACGTTTATCTGCGAAAGAATTTAAATAATAATGAAAATTCAATGGAAATTTTTGTTTATAATGATAATAATAATATTTTAGGGCAAACAAACTCACGGCACACAGCAGGATCCTCGTCGCTACCATCCTTGCAATCGGCGTCACCGTCGCAACGCCAGCTATCTAATATACATCTACCACTTGACTTGCATTTGAAATCCGAATCAGGACAGGGTAAATTACAATTTTGCTCATCAGAACTGTCACCGCAATCGTCTGTCCCATCGCAAATCGTGGCGGATGGAGTGCAATTAGTATTTTTGCACTGGAAGGTACCTGCACGACAATGGCGAGGCGAACAAGTCAATGGCTCGTCAGATCCATCTTTGCAATCTCTTTCACCATCACATTTCCAAAACCACGGAATACATTTCTCATCATCACCTCCGCAACGATGCTGTCCTGTAGTGCAGTTAGCTATGCAAGTTTTACTATCACGTGCCAAATAAAATTGATTGGGACAAGCACACTTGTAACTAGGAGCACCCTCTTCAATGTAACCTTCAATGTTCAGGTAGGTAGACTCAGGAGGAGGAGAAATAAGACAGAGATGGGAGCAACCGCCGTTATTAGGGCTGCAGGGATTGTTGTAGGGTAGTTGACGTAACGGATGATTGATATGTATGTCGTAAGGACGATGTGTAGTGTTACGCAGTACCGTGAAATTAGCACCAGTAAATTTATTGGCTCTCACAATAGCCTTTAAATTCCAATCACTCCAATACAGGTAATCGTCGAATAGACTAACGGCAAAAACGTGAGGAACTTTAGAACCTGACAATACAATATGACGATGACGTCCTTCGAGATCAGCATAAGCTATATAATCCAAATGAGCATCAGCCCAGTATATGCGATCTGTAAAGTAATCGATAGCCAAAGCGTTGGGCCAAGCAATATCGTCTTCCCACGTTAGAATACGAGAGAAATTAGATCCATCCATGCCCATTTTAGCTATGTAAGCTTGCAAATGCCAAGAAGTGAAATAAAGGTAACCAATTCCAGGATGTACTACTATAGCTCGAGGATCTACAACACCACTGCGTAACGTTTTCCTTTTAGTACCATCTAATTCAGAAACATCTAAATTTTTAGAGTGCCTGTCCAACCAGTACAATTTACGACCGACCCAATCGATAGCTATACCTTCTAAGCCGTGAGAATCATGACGTATCACTGGTTCACGGGTCGGCTTTTCAGTAGGATCTTTGTATTTCGAGCGGAAAATTGTTTTTGCCGTAACATCGCAAAAATACATATATTCCTCTTTAATGTCAAAATCTAAAGCAACTACATTCATTAAATCCTGATGCATTAGATTGTACTGATGCCCATCCACGGACATGTTCCGTACGTAATATTTGTTTGTGAATATAAGCCAGGGTTCAATATTATCTTTTCTCTTACAAGTATGCTCATCATTTTGGCGTTCATAGTAACGTTCGTCACATTTGCAATAGAAACTACCAGGTGTATTAGAACAATGCTGCGAGCAAGCGCCGGGGGACTCAAGGCATTCGTCAATATCAGCACAAGCCTTGCCGTCTGCTAAGAGTCTAAATGGTGCAATTAAAGAACAAATATAAATTAACACAAAGAAGAAAGAAAAAAAGTTGCAAATAATAAAATGAAAAGAGAATACTGACTTATATCCTTGATTACAGTCACAGTAATAACCGGTTGGCGTATCAACACATTTGTGCCCACATTGATTGATTTCGACTTTGGCACATTCATCTACATTACAATGAGCTGGTTCATCCGATTCGTCTGAACAGTCAGGCACCTTATTACACACCAATGAATATTCAATGCATTGACCATTGGCACAATTAAATTGACCCGTGGGACAGGTAGTATTTTCTTTTCGACAGTCCACTTCATCCGAATGGTCACCACAGTCATCTTCACCATCACAACGGTACTGGTTGCGTATACACTTGAAGTTTTGACAAGTGAATTCTTGTGGGGAACATGTCTTGTATTTTGAATTACAGAATTTAGCTTCATCGGTACCATCTCCACAATCGTTGTCATGATCACAAACCCAACCCTGTAACAATCATTTATTGTTCAAATTTAAGATAAAAAAAAATAAAATGAATAAGAAAAGCAGACCTGGCTGATGCATCTGCCGTTGCCACAAGTGAACATGTCTTCGGCACATGGCTGTTGGGTAGCGCAATTATGAAGAGTAGTGTTTTCGTCAGCACCATCTACACAGTCAGGGTCACCATCACAAATCCATTTTTTGGGTATGCACTGCGATCGACTCCACGATTTATTTTCAATACAAGTGAACTCAGTTTCCTCGTCACATTTACGATCATCTTGGAAAAATCAAGTACACTTCGTCAATTTACGCCTATTTATATAAATAATTTCCATATTAACTTACTACACTGATGGCGACTATCTTCATCACTGTTATCCAAGCAGTCGTTGTCACCATCACATATATATATGCGTGGAATGCAATTTCCGTTATCGCACGTGAAAAGATCTCCGAAGCAGGTACGCCCTTCGGATTTGCAATATTCAGGTGGTTCGTCAGCGCCATCCCCGCAATCATCATCGCCATCACAATACCATGTGGCTGGTATGCATCTATGATTGGGACAACGGAAACTGTTTGTAGGACAGGTTCGTTGCCCGCAATGTAGAGGGTCCTCATCGGAATTATCGCCGCAATCATTGTCGCCATCACACAGCCAGTAAGGTTCCACACAGATGTTAGTCTTTTCACATTTTAAATGATTCGCCGGGCAAGTCGTGTTAGTTGGACAGCGTTTATGCGTTTCGTCTGAAGTAGCATTGTCTTTACAATCATTAACTCCATTACATACTTGGGATATTGGAATGCAACGACCATTGGCGCAAGTGAATTCCCCATCTACACACGGAGGATAAGTGCATCCGATTTCATCTGAACCATCTTTGCAATCATTTTCATGGTCACATTTCCAGCTCTTGAATATACAGCGACCATTATTGCAACGGAATTCGTTAGGAGAGCAGGAGTGAAAGGCGCAATAATTGCGATCTTCATCAGAATTATCTCCGCAATCGTCATCGCCATCGCATGACCACATTCGAGAGATGCATTTGCCATTTTGGCAGTAAAATTTGCTACTTTCGCAAGTGTTGTTGCGAGGTGCACACATACGACCTTCATTAACTACTTTTGAGTTATCATCACATTTACACTCGGCTTTACCATTTGGAGCTGGGTGGCAGCTCTGAGCACAACCACCGTTACTAATAAGGCAGGGATTAACGCTACATTTTTGCCGGTCAGCATTGTACACTCGTATATCCCGCGGAGAATCTTCCAAACGTTTAACCATCTCAACCATATTAGCTCCTGTATGTTTTTCAGCTCGATATACACCTCTTAACTGAAGGTCAGTCCAATAAATATAATCACGAAATACCGTGATAGCGAACGGATATATAGTTGCAGCCACCAATAGTTCACGATTTCGCCCATCTAAGTCAGCTCGTTCAATTTTTTCTCTCACAGCGTCAGTCCAATAAAGTTTCCTTTCATCATAATCTATTGCTAGGCCACTGGGCTGTGAAAGATCTTTATCTACGATTGCACGTTTTAAAGACCCAGCCATGGTAGTACGGAATATCTTCCCTGATGTACCAAATCTTCCCCAATCGGTGAAGAAAAGCGTTCCATTGCAAGGATCTAAAACAATAGCTCGAGGCCTTTCAACTCGAGCAATCATTACTAATTCAGTGCCATCTAAGTTCATAGCATAAATGGAATTGTTGGAGCTGTCTGTCCAGTAAATTTTGTTTTGAGTCCAATCGTAGGCGATGCCTTCAGGATTAATGCCTTTATTTAAAACTATATTAACATCATTGAGGTTGGGGTTACTGGCTTTCGTATATGCAATCTTAGCCAATGGACGGATTTGAGTAAAAAAGATTTGATTGTCTTTATAATCGAAGTCAACACCCACTACGTTGGTTAAGTTGGTCATTGGAGCGAAAGGTATATGTGTAGATCGGGGATCTAGATTAACGGCTCGTATCTCCGTGCGCGTAGCAAAAACTAAATACTCGTTAACTGACTCGCATTTATTTCCGTCGCTTGCCAATTTGCCAGTGGCGCAGTCACATCGATAATTAAGGTGATCTGTTCCTGCTATATCCAGAGGGAAACTAAAACATAATTGGTCACAGCCACCATTACCCAAACGCGCGCAAGGATTGCTTTCATCCTGAGGTTGATTATTGATACTATATATAGCTATGTCTCTTAGTTTAGGTAAGCTAGCGCGTACTTTAATAGGCAAAGAATCATTACCCGGTAGCTTAGAGGCTTTAAAAACTGTCATGAGGTTGCGATCCACCCAATAGACATCGTTCAAATGTACAGCGATGCCCATAGGATTGGGTAAATTCCGTCGAATTATTTGACGCTTGGCGCCAGTGTACGACATTTTTTGAATGACGTCCAACTTGGAATCAACCCAGAATACATCGTGCGTTAACATATCTATTGTAAGATCCCGAGGATTCGAAATTCCTGAACTTACTAGTGGGGTCCATTTGCTACCGTCCAATAATGCTTTACCAATTCGTGGATACTGTCCGTAATCAATCCAGTATAATATCCTCTTAATAGGATTGACGGCCAATTCACGCGGAGCATCATTTGTAGTTCTTACCAAAACTTTACGATTGGTACCATCAAGCCAACAGACTTCTACATAATTTTCATGTGGGTAGACATTTGTAAAGTATAAATTACCAGCCACCCAATCTATGGTTAAGCCGCGTATACCGTTGCTACCAATACCGTCCTTAATAATGTGTTGTATTTCAGTACCATTAGGCCGTGTTCGAAAGATGCCGTTCCAGTAGCCACGATTATATTCGGCCCAATAGATCCATTGATCGCGGAATAAAACATCTACATGTAGAATATGGTGGCCCATGCCAGTAATTGGGACCATAGCCTCGGAACTGTCAGTTAAGCTATAGCCGCGTGTAACATCTAACTGAGACACTACAGCAAACAATTTATATGAGACGCAATTGATATCATTTTCTTTACGGTAACCAATGCCACAAGCGCAAACACGTGACGCACTATCATCCGGTATACAGATATGTTCACAATTGCCGTTATTTGTTTGACAAGGGTGTTGCATAATCGGACGCTTTTTGTAAATAATCATGTTTTTCAGATCAGGCTCATTGTCAATAATTTTCTTCGGGTTATCACCTCTTGGTAAATCTACTCGCACAATATTTTCGTATGAAGGATCCAAATAATAAAGACGAGAATCTAATATTCCTAAACTTTTTGGCCTTGAAATGGCATTGCTTTCCCCAAGCAATTTACGATGATCGTCACCATGGTAATCCATTACACAGATAGTAGGTGGATACTGAGTGCTATAATAGACTTGCTTCTTGTCAATGTCAACAGCAATGCTCTCAGGATGTTCAATATCTTCCTTAAGAATAATAGGGTTATTCCCATTCATATTAACCCTTCCAATTTTCACGGGAACGCCAGATCCTCCATCATCTAGCCAAAACAATTTACCGTCATTCGGGTCTAAAACTATTTGTTTCGGCTTAGAAACTGACGTTTTGTTCCCATTGTTAGCTATAATAACTGTACGGTATTTAATTTTGCCATCTACACGTATCGCTTCGATGTTACTTGCAATGCGATTACCCGTGTAAAGATTTCGACCCAACCAGTCAAATGCTATTGTGTAAGGAGCTCCAACAATACCCGTACTAATTCCTAAGAATTGAGTTTTGTTGCCCCCACCAAATTTCGTTGTGTAAATTGTACAGTTCTCGTCGTCATCTTCACGACCTTGTATCCAATACAACATTTCACCTTTACGATCAAAATCTAAACCAGTGCTGCTTTCAATTCCAATAACTGGTGCTAAGGAGCCCGCTCTAGCATCTCCACCGTTCAATGGAAGGTCTACTATTTGTGATCCTCTTACAATCATCAAGAAAGGATTTTCCTCCTCTACGCATTTTCCTTCGTTCAATAGTTTGTAACCAGGTTTGCATTTGCAAGAATAACCTTCACTGGTGCTCGGACTAAGCAAACATAAATGTTGGCATTTAGTATTGGCGCAGGGATTCGGATACATAGGCTGTAAGGACGGATGATGAACATGAATAGACAGCGGCTGACTAATAAGATGTGATACGACCGTTTGGTTATGGCCGCGGAATTTATTGGCTGACAACACGCGGTTTAGCTGTCTATCAGTCCAATATAATGTGTCTTCAAATAAAGATAAGGAATGAGGATGGAGGAGGTAATGACTACCTGCCAACACTTGTTGTCTTCCAGTTCCATTGTAATAACAGAAATCAATGAAGTCTAGCTTGGAATCGGCAAAATAAACCCTCTTAGTAGCAATGTCCAAGGTTAACCCATTGGGCCAATAGATTTTTGTGTTGATAATAATATCTCGCATGGAGCCATCCATTCCTATACGTTCAATACGTGGATTTTCTCCCCAATCAGTCCAGAATATGAAACGTGCGTCCTGGCTAGGATCAATGCACATGCCTCGAGGCTGAGTGATATTTTCGCGAACTAAAACTAGGCGATTTGAACCGTTCTCCGAGGATACTTCAATGGTGTTGAGTTTACTATCCAGCCAATAGAGATTTTTAGCAATCCAGTCATAGGCTAAACCTTCCACCAAGTCCAAGCCGGTAGTAATAATCTCTTGAGGGTCCATCCCACGATCTAGACGGGAAATTTTCTTCAATTTCATATCACTCCAGAAGATGGTGCCGGTGTGCATATTAGAAGCAGTAGCTACCACATTTTCAACGATTATAGGAACTCTTTCTAATCCTTGTTCTTTGAGGTCAGCTACAAGGATAGAATGACGGTTTGAAATTATGAGAAAAGCGGCAGTATGATTAAGAGCTTTGCATCTATGTTTATCCGTCTCCAGGATGTAACCTTCCGTGCACGAGCAGAAATACGAGCCTTTAGTATTGGTACATAGTTGGGAGCATAAACCGGGAGGATCACATTCGTTGGTATCTACACAAGTATATTTGTCATCCCCGATTTCAGATCCCGGGGGACAAATGCAAGCGGCTCCTAATGGCGTTTTTTGACACCCATTTGAACACAATCCAGTTTGGTGTTCACACTCAGCTAAATCACATCCTTCACCTTCATCAGCACCGTTCGGACAATCTAAAACACCGTCGCAAACAGAGGTCATGTTGACGCATCTTTCGGTAATACCAGGACATTCCCACTGACCATGTGGACATTTGAACGGTGGCGGAACACAAGCGTGTTGAGTACTTTCATCGCTGTTATCACCGCAGTCATCCTTGCCGTCGCATATATAAGCTTTGAACACGCAGTTTGTATTGTTACACTTGAAAAAGTTTGTGGCGCAAGTAATTTGACCACAGTCCTCTTCATCAGAATGGTCTGAACAATCATTGGAACCATCGCAATGCCAAGCAATGGGTATACAAAAACCAGACGACTTACAACGAAAATGTTTTTCAAAATTGCATTGATTTGGACCTACCGACGGACAGCCTAACTCATCACTACCGTCATTACAGTCTGGTATACCATCACATTTGTATGACTCCTCTACACATTGCCGTAAATCTGCACATTTAAATTGATTTGCAAGACAGGTAATAGGTGGACAGTCCTTTTCATCTTGTTTATCGAAGCAATCATCATCGCCATCGCACACCCAACTTTGTGGTATGCAATGACCAGTTCTTGGGCAGGTAAATTGAAAATAGGCACAAGTTTTTTCTGCACAAAATTCTCCTTCATCTGAGCCATCTCCACAGTCATTTTCACTATCACACTTCCACATATTCGGTATGCAACGACCATTAGCACAAGCGAACTGAGCTGTACCGCAGGTGACGTTGCCACAATCGAATTCATCGGAGTTATCACCGCAATCGTTTTCTTGGTCACAACGAAAATTCAAAGGAATGCACCGGCTCGATTTGCACTGGAACTCATTTGATCCACAAGTAGGTTCTGAAAGAAATTCACATTTGTTACAAATAGCTCCAAATTTGGAGTTTTGTGCATTACTTACTTGTGCAATTTTGTTCTTCATCGCTGTTATCTAAGCAATCGTCATCACCATCACAAACCCAGGATTTAGGTATACATCTTTGGTTGTTGCAAGTAAAGTCCCATGAGTTTGGACATGGCTGTACAGGTGGCTCCGCATTTTGGTCCACTACACAACTCGTTCTGTCATCAGCTAAGCGTTCTCCATACGGGCAAGAGCATTTAGCTTGTAACCGATTAGTTTCATTGTTTGGCACAGCGAAGCAAATTTTTTCACAACCACCGTTATTTAAATGGCACGGTTGAGACTCTTCAATAGTCTGCACTTCATGGCTATAGACCTTTACTCCGTATAAACGATTAGTTTGAGGCTCCTTAATCATTGTTTCTTCTTGTTCACCAGTAAGTTTGTGTAAGCGTATTATTGCATCCACTCGCCAATCGGTAATATACATCCAGTCGTTATGTATCACGATTGAAAAGGGGTGCTTCACAAGGCGCGAATTAATGGTCTTAATATCCGTGCCATCTAACTTGGAATGCTGAACATGATCAAGTAGAGCATCACACCAGTAAACTCGATTTTCTTTGAAATCGATAGACAATCCATTTGGCCAACCAAGGGTAACGTTTTTAAATATTAGCAAGTTTGTGCCGTCGGCATTAGCACGCGTTATATTAGCTGGTCTATCCCATTCCGAAAAAAATATATATCCCCGATTGGGATGTACGACAATTGCTCGTGGTCTTTTAAGATTTTTAAGCAGTGTCCGCCGATAAGTTACGTTTCGCGTCGACAGGACGTTTAAAGTGCCTTTGCGAGAATCAATATAATATAAATTTTTTGATGCCCAATCAACAGCTAAACCTTCAACTCCTTCATTTTGAGAGGCCAAAACTATTTCTCTCCCAGTGCCATTGCGGTGAACACGGTAGATCACGTCTTGTAAAACATCAGAATAGTAAATAAACTCGTCACGAGAATCAAAATCCAAGCCCACAAAGCGAGCCCGTCGTGAGACAACGGGCAAAATGGCGTCACTGAAACCTTCAATAACCGGTTCTAATACTTTTCCTTTAATAAAGCGTTGCTGAGAATACATAAGAAATTCACGAACGATTTTACAATTTTTTAAGTCCGTTTGTAATTGGTAACCGGTATGGCAGGCACATCGGTAGCCTAAATTGAAATTAGCTCCTTTAACAGCTGTAACAATACACATATGATTACAACCGCCATTATTCGAGCCACACGGATTTGAAGCTTTGGGTTGGCTAAGGGCGTGTACTGCTACAATGCCCTTAGGTTCTCTTATATCTTTTGCTTTGTAGGTAACCTGAATTGAGTTTGGGCCGGCGTACTTATCTACTGACATAATGCCTTGTTTGGTGGCGTCAGTCCAAAAGATACGATTCTCGAAGAGTGCTAAACGTGATGGACTAGGTACTTGCTGTCCTCTCAAGACCATAACGCGGTGATTGCCTTCATAGTTTACGGTTTCAATGTAGTCTAATAGCGAATCGCACCAAAAGACTCGTTGAGCTATAATGTCGACAGTGACCCCTGAAGCCTTATAGGCAGCCTCTGAAACAATAGAACGCGCATGAGTGCCATCCATATGGGCTCTCAACACTTGGCCACCATCAGCTACAAACATTAACCCAACGGTAGGATCCAGTGCCAGGTCGGCAGGATTCGTTAAATTTGAACCTAGTACCACTGCATGCCAATTACCGCTTAATTCAAACACATCGATTTTTTGACCGACAACGTCAGCTACATAAATCTTATCCCCCACCCAATCAACAGCTAAAGCTACCGGGGCCCATGTACCTGGCAACGTTAGATCTAGGGGTTGTACAGCATCGCTAAATATGCCTAATGGCAACGACTGAACTTTACGAGTTTTTATATCTGACCAATACAGAGTATTTCTTTGGTAATGATACGCTACCCCTGAAGCAGCGCTTGCGTTTGCCACAATCCTTGGATCTCCACCATGTGACGACATGCGTACAATTGCTCGATCATGTGCAAAAATTAATTGCAAATTATTAGCATCGGGTGCAATGCATCTCGCATTATTGACCAGAGCATAACCATGAGCACAGGAACATGTGTACGAACCTTCGGTATTGGCACACAATTGATCACAATGTCCCCATTCTGCACATTCATCCAAGTCGATGCAAGTACGATTATCTGCTGCTAACGATTGTCCTGACTGGCAATAGCATACGCCGCCTGTTAAGGATGGTCCACATTTGTATTCGCAGCTCAAAGCAGGACATGATGCAGTAGCTAAATTATACAATATACATGCATCCACGCAAATACACAGTTGAAAAAATTTTCATTAACGGATGGGATATTAAATATACTTACAGCAAGCCGTCTCCTCGTCGCTACCATCATCACAATCTCGTTTTCCATCGCAGAGTTGAGTTTTGAATATACATTTCGGAGCACCGTTGGTACCTCCACGCGGGCAAAGAAATTTATTATCAGGACATGCTATTGCGGTGCAATTAGCTTCGTCACTTTCATCGGCACAATCATGATAACCATCACAGTAGAAATTTGAAGGTATGCACAATGCATTTGTACAACGAAATTGTCCATGGTGGCAAGGCGGAAAATCTATAAGCATATCCAGGCAAATTATTACTAATAAATAAATTAGGAAAGCGATTTGAATATAAAATTATTAATTCGCATGTATTAAATAAAACCTCTGTTATTTCATTTAGACAAAGGATCTTTCATAATAACATTAAAGAGGAGTATTGCAATACTTTTACAAACATCTTATTGGGAAAGTACACTTGTTTATGAAAGTTTCATTACTGCGCAAATGAGAGATTTTGACCAAAAGCATGAATTGCGCTGATGCCAGGTGTTATTAGGGAACGGCTATTGGGCGCTCCTGCACGATTATTAAAGGTTTCGAAAGAAGAATCAGCTTCGCATATAGCAAAAAGAGGGCGAACGATATTCATATTTTTGGTAAGCGTGTACTATGAGTTAAGGAGTGCTAGAGAGATCCTTTACAAAAATTCTTATCTATTAAGATTAGAATGAAATGAAATCTTGAGGGAAACGAAATAAGATCTATATATAGAAAACATACTTATATTTTTAAAACTATTTTTCGTAGAAGTTGCTCAGCTCCCTGGCATTTACGACTTTTAAAACAGGGTGCTTCTTGTAGTCGGTTATTCGTTTGTTGATATACCAGTGTAATTAATAGGTTATGTCAGGAAAAAATATAAATTTTTTGCCAAAAGTTCAAGTCGATACATATAATGCAATTTTGCGAGCGGTTTAAAATGGCTACCTAGTTCCTATTCGAATTCCTCCTTCGATGCTAAATGCTTAGGAGACGGATATTTCTTGACGTTCTAAAATAGACAATAATCACTGGGATACAAATGCGAGCAATACGCTAGTTGCGAAAGGAGCTTCCTCGTTTTTCATTAAGATGTAAGATAATGCCTTTTTTTTGAAATAAAAACTTCTCTTATTCATTTTGTTATGAAATAAAGCTCAGCGATATATACATTTTATCGTACTATCCTTTTGGTGATGAAGATTTGAAACCATATGTGCATCCAAAACGGCAATGTCAATAATCTTTCCCACTGGCGTTCTTGCCTGCTTTGATATGCTTTCACCCGCCAAAACATCCATTCTTTCGAATGCGTACGCTGCTCCGGCAGGTGCTGGTGATCCCTGCTTTTCATTCTCCTAGTTACGTGAGGAGTCAGATGATGAATTGGCTTTACAAATTTTTCTTGAAATTGGGAACACGAATGACTTTTTCGTGGACAGTGAGAGAACGGGACGTACGTCTTGTATAAAAGTTGTTTATATCCAACTTTCCACGCAAAACATCAAAAAAGACCTACTCAGGATATTTACACACATATTTAGTTCAGACACACTCAATTCTTTACAATCACCTCCGGTCTTATAACATTAATTGGCCGACCTAAATGATGTTTTTCACTTATTTGCACGAGAACAACTTTAAATTTGCCCTTTCGTTATTTAAATCTTTTATTTGAGAGAGTAAGTTTTCCCTAGCGTTCCTTTAACCTTTACTTTCTTTTGATGTTTTGTATTTAAAAAAATTATATATAATCCAAATCTTTTCGTGGTAAGAAAAATAACCAAAATTGTAAGCTTTGCACCCCATCATCTACTAACTTACCAAACGTCATTAAATCTGGCAAGTGGTCTGCTATCTATCTGCCATCTAAAAGATTTTTGTATTTGTGTGAAATACAATATCAGAATTTTCTTCTCTTATCAGAATTTTTTTATTTTCGGCTTTTTCGGTCATAATGTAGTATGCATTCATATAAATGTTGTGATCATTGTGATTACAATCTATTTAATGCAATGAAATAAATTTTTAGGGTAAAATATAGTAAACAGGGAATTATATTTGAACGAATATTTTATATGCAATACTTTTATTTAAAAAACGTTAAAAAAAAAACTAGGTTAGAAATTTGTAATCGGCTGTGGTTGGATCTTCTATACCCTATATTTGTTGTTGCAGATTATGAGTAATGAAAAAATTAGGCTTTTTCATTTGCTTTTAAAAATGGAGATGCTCTCACTTCGTGTCGTATTATGCACGAGTCGCTTGACCGATTTGGTCAATTTTCAATAGCAGTCTTTGCGTAATAACTTCACATATTTTGGCCGAATTCAAAGCCGATATGTTTATCACAGATGTTAGACAGGAAGACGCACAGATGGACGGACGGAGCGGACATGCTTAAATTGACTGAGAATTTGCTTTTGATTAAGAATATTTATACTTTATAGGGTCCCTGAGGCCCTCCTTCTGCATGTTGCAAACTTTCTGATAAAATGAATACGCCTAGTCATTTTTCGCTTGTGGAGTTACAAAAATATTGTGACATTTGTTAATTCAACCGAAACTAATCGCGCTTTGAAAATGAGCCAAAACTCGGAAAAAGTTCGCCATATTTCACAATGCAACCTCAACTTGTGAAAAAATCGTTGTTGTTTATCGTGAAGATGCTTTATCAAAATCAGCCGCACACAACTGATTTGCTGGTTTTCGGTTTGGAAAGTTCGATGTTAACAGCGCATCGCATCGCATCCATTGGTTAAGTCGACGAAATTTCCTTAAAATTTGATGAAGAGCAAAATTATCGACAAAATTGAATAGAAAAAAAAGCTGGACATTCGGCTACCACATAAATTAGCAATGAAAAAATATATTGGGGGGATCTCACCAGCGAATCGTTGCTGAAACCAAACGATATCGAGCTATGATAATAATGTACGAAAACGATAGCAAAGCTTGGATTGACGACAAGGAGTCTTTTCTTTTTGGTGGGATTGATCATAATCGTGTATCAGGACCTATCCTGCCTGTTGTGACAATTGATTACATTCTTTACTTTCAGCTAATGCGATTAAAGCGCGCAATTGGGATAGAGCCTTTAGAAATGGATAATATGAAACCGGAGTTATCGTCTTCCATAACGACAATATCGCCTACCACACACGTTCTTAACGGATGGGTAAAAGTTGAAAGTGCTTATTTGGGAAGTTGTCTGCATTCACCGTATAGCACCCCTATCTTGCCTTCTACAACTACCCTTTCTTACGCCCTCTGCAGTAATCTTTTAATGATTAATAGCTTGCTTTAAAGGACATAATGATTATGGTATGTTAGAATTTTTGGTGAAAAAAGCTATGAAACTTCGTCTTTATCCATTGTTTTATCCAAGACGTCTCCTGCGCATTGTCGTTTCTATTTCTGCACATGAATGTTTGATAAATGACAGGAGTTGATAAAAAAATGCTTGTGATTTTTAAATTTCATCGAAATTGGATATACATGGAACATTTTGGCAAAAACGTTGGTATGGTCAATGATTTTTAATTTGTGGGAAAATGGAATAAAAAAAGGTTCTCATGCTCTTGGCATACCATTCATGTTATGTCAATCAGTACTATTGAGTGTATGTGTAGGAGTAAAATTATTTTTAACATTCTTTATTTTGACTTTGCCTTATCTTCTCTGCTCGCCAGATTTGACTTACGCCTTATATGTTCTTTCTATCGACGAAATGGAACGCAAGGACATTATGCTTACGGTAAAGAAGGGAAGTAAGATTTAAAAAAACCAAAGCATTCCTGAACACTTGCATTTGCCAACAACGCACTAATCATTAACTTTGACTACAAATACCTATATGCATATATATGATATATATATATATATATATATAAAAACTATTATGACACCTACACAATTCAAGTTTTTCATCAACTTTCTTATTATATAAAAGGTATGAAAGAATACTTACTGCACCCTTGTTCGTCGGACTTATCACCGCAATCATCTTTGTGATTGCACTTCAATGCAGCACTAATGCATTTTAAACCATTGGCACAACGAAATTGATCAAGGCGACATGATGTACCTTTGCAACCGTCTTCATCGCGACCGTTGCGACAATCCAAATACCCATCACATCGTCTCTCCTTTGGTACACATGGGCCGGATAAGCGACTTCCATCAGAGGGTGGCAGACCACCTGGCGCATTACAGAAAACATCAGTTGTTTGACATTTCCTATAAGCTGGTTGAAGGTATGGAATTCGAATAAAACAGTCAAATGCGTGCACATGAAAGTGTTATTGTTATATTCGACATTCCACCGTTTGCATGCATGATATAAATAAGAAAAAGTCAAAAGAGAAGCCAAAGAAATTTTCGCAAAAGTTATTCATTTAAAGGTGCCAGTAAAATATTTTATTCCATTTTATTTCATTTTAACAATTGACACCAATATGCCGGCCGTTTAACAGAAGAAGAAGGTGAAGGCATCGATATCATATCGATATTGTATTAGCCCGGTTTGTGTATTTGCGTTGAATAATAACCAACCATATAATGATGAGTGTCAATGATATGCACGTACAAGTTATAATTGAAGTTTACATGAAAAGAAAGATAAAATCAGAAAAAAAAAATTCTTTTTATAAGAAAAGTCATAAACTTCGTCAATTTATTTTTCTATCTTTTTTGTTAGTAATTAAAAATTTCATTTTAATAGGAGTATAAGCGCTTTTAGCCACGTATATGTTGCATGTTTTTCTAATAAGATAGATTCATAAAAGCGCCCTTTATACGCATCTAAATTAAATGAGCGCATTACATAAACATAGACAAATATTTTTTGAAAAATGCAATTTATTTTAATAAAAGTTTGTACATAGAAGCAGATATTGTTTATATAATGCTATAAACTGTTTTGTTATTTGCGGATTATTTGTTTATTAGAGAAATTGAATTGTTACACTTCATCTGGCATCAGAAGCTGAAGGCACAAATGAATCGGTTAATACCTACATTTTTTCATATGCTTTTTTTTTTTTTTTTTTTTTTTTTGTTTTCTATCTCTTCCATTATTTAGTTTCTATTCAGTTTGTCTAACTGCATTGTTGATATGCATCTATGTAAAGATCCATTGAACCATTACAGCAAAAAATTTCTTTTTGTTTGACTTTCATTTGCAGCACAGGAAGTAACTTTTTCTTTTCCCCGTATTGTTTCGATCATATAATTGAGCGTTCAATTCAATGTCGTTTAATTTGTTTCATATGAGTGCAGTCACTTCAATTGTTTTCTGGGTTCACTTAAAAGTTACTTTTCGTGCCCTGTATGTCGTTAATCAATTGCCTTTTGCTTTTCTTTTCTATATGTGAAAAGCAATTATTTTTATTTTAGAATCAACCCGATACATTAAGTTACGAGTTTTTTTTAACGTATAACAATATCGCGTTTCTAATACCATTAGTAATTGCTATGAATTCGGACTAACTCCTAATCTGAATATATTCAATTATTTTACGCGTCATATTCACATTTAGTCATGCGCGTTGCGCTTAATTTGATGTTTTTACGTTTTCACGCTTTCTTTGAGGTTTTACGCTCATTTATAATAACGCAAACAAGAGAGAATGTTTAAAACTATTTCGTACATTCCTCAAATGCAGATATATTATCTGCCTAAAGATGGGTCAATCCTAAAACGAATAAGGTAAACACCGCGGCCTCATTGTTTAATTTTCTCTTAATAATAATAAAAGAGCTTGGGGAGTAGAACGCGAAAAGCGAAGTGTATTAGTTCCAAATTAAATATCTCGGACGTGACGATGCAGTGAATTAATTTTTCCGTTCCAATACCATTGATATAGGTATCAGAAAAAAGACTTGGAAATGTTTTTTTAAAAGTACCTTTGAACGAGGTATCAAATGAAAGGAGTTCGAAGGTAGAACGCGGTAAAGAGGTTAAAAAAAAACTGATTTCGAGAACATTAAAATCTTAAGTGGACAAAGCGTTTATGTGCTGGATATGCGAGATTCGATCCCCGCCGAATATAACTTTCTTACTTGTTACTCATCTTTTATGCTTCTCTGTTAAGACATTTATCACATTTTGATATTGATTATTTTCAATAAGAGAACGTATTATGTCCCTCTGGATATGTGAGAATAATTTACATAATATGTATACTCGTTCCAATGGGGTGCATGCGAATTTTACATTCGATCATTTTCCATACACTACTATACTGTTATTCATATAACGACTTTTCAAGGATCGAAAGAGTGATCCGATCCGAACCGTTTTCAGTAGCGTTGATCTTTAGGGCGAAATACGTCGGCATATCAAATTTTATCAAAGTATAACAAGAAGTACGGCCAGTGGGATACCCATGAGAAAACAAATCGAACAGACGGATAGACAAGTTTAGATCAGTATTATAAAAAGTGATTTATTTCAAGTCCCTGTAGGTGTGACTTATATACTAGCACAAGCTTCATGTCCCTTGATATCACAAGTGACGTAATGTATAAAAATAGAAAACGAATTTACGCATTGTACGAAAAAGTTTTAAAAAAGTTAAAAATTTGCTCAAATGCTTAGACGTCATTCAAATATAAATTTCGGCTTTCATTCGTTTTGAAGCTAATTACCGACACGGACACTTCAAGTCTTGAGCTCGCTAATCTTCTTAGTGTGACTTTATCGAATCCTATTATCGGAAAATTTACAGCGTGATCGTTAGCCTTGCCGCTTGTTGTCTGTAAATCTTGCAACGTGTCCTTCTTCTCCATTCACTCCAAATAGAAACGATGATGGCAATTTTATCGCGGAGTCTCCAAGTTTACCTTAAACTGTAACCAATAGCAAAGTGTTTGACAGGAGCAAAACGTTCGACTGGATTTTAAGCTCTAGTTGATCTATTGAAAGCCTCAGTTGTCCTCAGTTAATGTACTACTATTGTTAAGATTGTTTACATCAATTTTTTACAAGTTCATTTCGATCGATGCATTGTCTGCCCATCTCTCCTTCTTATGTCTATCCGTGTGATATTTTGTTCAAACCATAGGTAGCAGTTTTTGATATAATTTGACAGCATTTGATACAGCGGCATGCGTCCACCCAAATGCGAACTGTATTAAAAAAGTTTGCGATTGGAAAATTTGCTTCATCCCCCTTGTTTCTCCATATAAAGCCTTATTTTAAAAAGTCGTTAAATGACAAAAAGTTGCAAATTTCAAAATTTCTCGGCATCAACCGCTGAGTAATAGTACTTCAGCAACATAAATCGGTATGAGAACTTCTTAAGCATATTATTAAAATGCTCTTGTAATCACAATGTTGCGTTTTGTCTTATGTATGTACGTTCCTGTCCCTAACTAAAGGATCTATTAGCGCGTTTTCATCTTGTACAATGGTTATCCTTTCTTTTTGTATAATATGATGCAGTAGACATTTTCATTCAACCCTTGAAATCAAACTTCTTAGAATCGAAATTTGGTTTTTAAAAATTTGCTCAAAAAGAATAAGAATAAGAACAACGTTAACTGCTTGCATGGCAGCAACTGCGATGCGTTTGCTGGTTTATCGCCTCGTCTTTTGACTTTTAACTAATGCAAATGGAAAACTGCACTTTTTAATGGATGACCCGATGAAGTGCCCTTCTTAAACAAATGTAAGATCGTAGTTATTTATTATGTTTATGTCATCTTATTAATTTAATTTTGATAAGCGATTTCTACAGGTCAAAATTAGAAAGAATTGGGAAATACCTGCGTAACGTCTAAATTTGATAGACTATTGTCTACCTGAACTAATAGCTCAATTAATTTCAATTATTGATTTATTCACCGGTACACCGACACTAATCGTGATGTTAATAATGCTGTTCAATCATACCCCAATTGTCCATTTTGGTTTCAACGATTTAAAAATGGTGATTTTGATGTCAATGACAAAAAACTGTCTGGAGTACCAAAAAACCTCAAAAATTGCTCAATTAATTGCAAGACTTATTGGACGAAATCTAAAAGTCTCAAAGAACTTTCGAACGGCTTAGCAATTGACTGATGATCACGTCTGCCTGCGATGGCAACGATCCAAAACGAGAAAGAATAGCTACCTCGCAAATTGAGAGACAATGGCATTTTGGTCACTTGTTGCATTTCGAATGGGAAGTTCTACGATCCCCAATGCCACTCACCAGACAGGGCGCCTTCTGATTACCACTTGCTCAGATCGGTGCAACATGGCTTGACTGGCACGCACCAATATAAGTCCTTTCGGCACGATATCGCCATGTCGCCAAAAATATGGTAAAATGTTGTAGAAAATGATGGAAAATATTTTGACCAATGTATGATTGCTCTAATTTTTCGCGAACACATAATAAATATCTTTCAAATGGTTATAGTTTCTGAATAGTATAAAGAAAGCATGGATAGGGTACAGCTCTCTATTTTGGTCTCATATTCAAAATTAATTGTCCGTCTTTTGTCACATTCTTTCAAATGCTTCAAATCTTGATTAATATTTCAAGTGATTGTTTTATTATAGTATTTTGTAATATAACTTGTTAAGCACTTTTGCTTTTCAAAGGCAGAGTTGGGATCGCGTGCCTAAAATATGTAGGCGACTAAATTAGCTTGTAACCATGTAATGGCACAATAAAATGTATAGAATAGAAACAATTGTTGTACAGAGAGACATCCGTTTTACTTTCACAAAAAAATTTTGGACTCTCTTAGTATTTAGTTTAGTTTTGAGATAAAGCTGACTAAATAGATTGCATAGCAATTCAGGGCGGGCTTAATGTTATGTTTTCTACAATATGATAAAACATCCAATGACAGCTTTGGTATTTGCTTACTTTATAAACAATTCCTTTAGAATGCCTAGTAATTGTTATTACAAGAACAAACTTAAAGTGGGATTATACTATACATAAAAAATGCTGTACAATGTGCAAATGCAGAAATAAATGCGTTATGGATAAATTGATAGGTAAAAAATTGAAGTTCGAATTGAATGTAAAATTTTATTAAAACTGAAGACTGAAGCGTTCATAAGATATTTGTAACATGTGCCTCAATAAGTTCATAGGATGACGAGTCCATATAACTAAATGAACATCAACTTGTAAACTAATTGTCGAAATGTTATTAAATTTTAACACATTTCGTTTGAAGATTGATATTATCTACGATATCTCATGATATGTGATTGGCAATAGTCATCCTACGAATTTA